GGAAGAGATTATGTCTCAGGTGTGGCATAAAAGCTGCAAGCCTTTGAATTGCCACAAATAAGGGAATACAAATGATGTGGTTTCAGTTGGTTTGTTTTGAGAAAACCACCACTTTGTCAAAACTGGTAATGGTGCCCTACTATTCTTAGAAACATTTCTTAAATTCATTGTTTGGGCTTTGGGCTACAGATTTCTGTTTTTGTCAGAAAAAAAACAACTAATGGGAATAGCATCACCTTGAAGAGAACAAGAATAAAGAATCTACATAAATATTTAACTGGCTTGAATTTATATTTATATTTTTTAAAGTAATTTCTTCAGTTCTGACAAGGTTCTGCTTTAAAGATCTGTTTGAAGGGAGGAGATAACTACACTGAAAATTTTAATTTGTTTACAGTTAGTAGTATCTGTTATTAGTTAAGCTGAAATACCCGAAGCCCTGGCCTAACCAGCCAGTCCACCGCATTCTGTTCAAATCCAGAAGGGACAGGCACCGGACAATAAAGGTTGAAAATCTTCCGTCTGTTGTCTCTCAAATCAAGTGCAGCCAACTTAAGTAACTCCTAAAAGATCAAATTTATATATCGAAGCGAGAAAGTGGAATGTCTACTGCAATTTTCTCTTGTCCTCCCTTCAGACAGTGACTTACATCAACTGAAGACAACTGACGAAGCTATTTGAATGAGTTGTGACAGGTACACTCTTCTTTTACAGTGAAACCTATCTGGACAGTTGATTACACAAACATACATTTTTATTGAGAGTTGCAACAGCAAAACAGCTGCATGTTGATTTGGAAGACAGGTGCCCTTCCTGCCATATCCATTGACGTTGTGTATGTTCATAGACATTTACTTAACCCATAATACTGCTACCAGCGTGCTTAAATTATATATAATCATTATTATTTCACTGATAGCTATCTTTATACATATCGTAATAATGTCCTCTCTATGTTTTGTATTCCAGACTTTAGCCTCCTGTGCGTGTTGAAATCGTCTTGTCTGTAAAATGGGGTTTTTCAAAGACTGCTTCATTTTGTTTCAAGTCCATCTGGTGCAGATATTTAGTGCCAGGGGGAAGTTAGAGCATAAGATGAATATTGATTAGTTCAATCTGAAATATTTGCCTGCTTAGTGTGGTTGACACTGCACGCCCACACAAGATTAAGTGAACGGGCAGCTCATTGAATCTACTTAACAGCCCAAGTTAACTTCTTTGAATGGCTGGACAGACTTTTATTGACCCCAACACAGAGTAATGGGAAGCTCTCCTTGCCACATAAAAATGAGGTGGAAAAGGACCGGAATATCAAATGCATGGGATGCTCGCAGGCATGTCTGTTCAGTTAACGAATGGCAAAGGTGCGCTGCTTTATAAGATGTTAAAAATACACCAGAGAAAGAGCAGCCGGAGGAAAGAGGAAAGGTCATAGCTAAGTGTGCTGTTAGATGAGAAGTTCAAGAAGCTTACACTGACTCTGGAAATCTAAACATTTGAGCAGGAGTTAATTAGGAAGGAATTCAATCTGCCAGAGTAATGTTGTGGAAGTGCAGCACAGATGATCCGCCTCAGTATGGCCCCCATAGGCACACTGTTCCCGGGCTGTCCCTCTCCAGAACCGTGGGGCCCATTTAGTCTGCAATTTGGGCTTCCCCCCGAGCAGCATTCAGCATGAAGAGAGAAACCAACAATGATGTCCTGTGCACTATAAAAACCTGTGCCAGTATCGTTCGTCTTCTATTCAGTGCAGGTCTGGCATGGTCAGAATTGTGGGCACAGTTTGGATGAGCTACTTGATGGATGCACTGCGTCACTGCTGGTCAGATTAATGCTCTCTCAACGCCAAGTACAGAGCCAGTCAACTTTAACTTTTGTGGAGTTTAAAGAAAGTGGATTTGTGCCCAGCAAGAGCAATGAACACTGTCAATGAGAAATACACTGATGCCTGGGAACTCATAAAAGAAGTTATTACATTATAAACATTCATTTTTTTTTTTTATATTATCTTTCAGGAGGTTGCATATTCTTATCTCCATAGAGCTGCCATAGCAAGCTACACCCTAAAGAAGTTTGTTGGATTGTAACCACAGGGAGCATCGATATGTCAGTCCTGTCTGTATCAGAACATTATACTTTTGAAAACAGTGCACAGTCAGAACAGTGTATTGTGTGGTGAATAATCAGATGAGAATCACATTTCCAAAACTCAGTTAATCAAGGATCTAACACCATCAGGAAACCATCCTGTTTCTATTGAGACCCACATGTATCTATCTAATTATTATTACTTGTTGATTATGATTGCACAATATGTCCTACAATTTGTTCAAATGAGTCAAAAACCTAATCATCAAGAGTTTCTGAGCAGAAACTTGTAGTGTAGCCACTCTCATTACTGCCAACTGTGCACTAATGACTTGGACTACAGAAATCATTAATAGCTCACAGCAGACATACTGCAAGCCTGCTAACTGCACACATTTATAGTTTTTACCCTTTTAATTACTTTCAAAATGCTTACCCATTGGAAAGTGGGTAAGTATTCTAGCTCTACTGCACTAAATCATGCAACTAAATATAAAGGGGATCCAATCAACTTCTAGACTTTGAAACATTTTTGACTAAACCTGTACATGCTGTACAGCTGAAGTACAAAAATACGACAAAAAGTAATATGTATTAATATGTATTTTATGTGGAGTCTGTGTATTGTATGCATGTGTAACATTTTTTGCCTATAAATTAGAATATCAATTTCTGTTTAGTTACCTGGCAATTCCAGTTATAAGTAGTCTTTTAAACTTGGATATTTTTCCAAGTGATTTTCCAAGTGATATGATTGTCATTTCACCCACTACCCGCCAATACCCTGCCATTTCCCCTCCCCAACAAAAAAAGAGATTATTACTCTAGACTGACAGGGCAAGTTTATGTTTGTCTTCTACAAGTAACTCCCATGATGCTCCAGGTCACTAGGTTTTATTATATACTTTTACAAAGAGCCCCCCTCCCCTGTTGGCAGGCCTGACACAAAATGCCTGCCGTAGAAGGTCATTTGAAGCCGCGTCAGGCCCAGTCCGAAAATGTCAAGTTGTTATGTCGCTGTCATCTCCGCGTCGGTAATGAGGAGGCCAATAGTGCTGAGGCGGCTGGAACAGGTGATTCTAGTTTCACCAGGGTCAACTTCTCCCACTGACTCAAACTGCAGCTGTCTCTATCATGTCATGGTTGTTGACAAGTCTGTAGCAGCCAATTACTGCTCCAGTTTGAGTGAGTATTGTTGGACATAATAATAGGAGCGCCGTGTCTTGTTTGGCAGGGAATAATTGCCCAGCTCTAAATGGACAGAGGATTGTTGAGGATCCCCCACTTGGATGTCCCAATGTGGTGAAATGGGACGCATTGTGTGTTTTTGTAGGCTTGTTTTGGTTATGTAAATGTTTTGTCTGTCGCAAAGAATGGGAAGGTATGGTTGTATGCTACTGGATGCTTGGAATGAGAATCACGGTTCCCATACTTTTGGGAAATACAATAAATTTTGAGTTGTTTATATGGTTTTAGGAATGTCAAAACTAATTCTAGCGTTAGTTTGAAATGTGTTTGTACAAATAAATGGAGAAGAAACACATCTTGATTTATTTATGAAAGATGTTTTAATAGAGGGTTTGTTGTTTTATTCATTGGGGTGAAAGGAAACATTCCCCACAAGACGAGATATGAGATCATTGGACCCACAAGAATGAGACAAGATACAATTTTGGCATGTTTCAGAGTCACAATTTTCAATGTATTATTATGATATATATTTGCTGTCATTGCAACACTGCCTTTTAAAATTGTGGCTTCAAAGAGACTTAATCAACGCTTAACAATTCACACAATCACACCTTGTGGCCCTTCCATCTCACAAAACCTTGTGGCACAGATTTATTGTATTTATGTGCCCTTTCTCTATTTGTAAATCTTTAATGTGCATCCTAATTTTCCGATGATGTCTTCAGGAAGTGTGGACATTTTAAAGGTCCTATATTATGTAAATATGACTCTTGGAAGCTTTGTTTTGTTTCATTCACACATATTTGAGTAATCCAACATTATTAGTTCGTCTACATCTCCAAATGCTCCGAATGCTCTGTTCCACGTTGTGATGTCATGAACTAGTAGTTTTCCAAGGTTTACCTTTTCGTTCAGTAGAGATTAGCAATTCCAGGTCAGAAATCATTCAAATTATTCTAGTGAAAGTGTATGAAGTTTAAAAACATAATGCGGAGCACTTCCTGTGTTACCACATGACATCACAAGGTGCAACAGAGTGCTTTCAGTTTGAGAGAAAAACTCTTAAATATGCAGAATCTGTATTAATGAAACAAAACAAAACTACAGGTATGTTTTTGATTAGGAAACAACATAACATAGATCAGAAATTTGCATAATATGAACCATTTAAGTCTTTTTGATTGCAGGTATTGGCCACGTGTTAAGGATAGTATTTAAAGGTGCACTGTGTAAATTTTCTGGTGATGGGTAAACCTGCTTGTCTCCATAGGGCTGTTATTGCTTTGCCCATAACAGTATGGCATTAAACCTGCCAATCTTCACAAGACAAGATGAGCAGTTGATACCCCCAGGCAACAAAAACATGTTTAATTGAATCAGTGTGAGGTGTATAAGTCCAATGCCATACTTTAGAACATTCCAGGTAAAGCCATGACTCCAATAATGCATTCTGGTGATAGATTTTCTGAAAAGTTACATAGTGCACCTTTAAGATTTTAATATAATAAATGAATTATAATAAAGCTATATTTTTGGGACTGTCAGCAAAGCTTTTCTGAAGTAACTTGTTTTCTTAAAACAGCAGAATCCAAAGATTAATTTTAAAATATGCAAATTAATATATACTTTTATTTCACTTCTACAGTACATGCAGGATTTTTCTCTTATAAATATCATAACCCAAATTCAAATTTGTGTGTTATTCCTATTGTTACTTCCAGGATGAACCAGGCTCCTACCAGTGGCTTTGAGCAGGACGTTGGCTCCCGAACTACTCATCACCTCATGTACCCAGAAAGTGCCATCAACCTGGACAACAGCACCAGCCTGGTCCTGATTCCATTCAAGACTCTGGATTTGCAGTGGATCACCAGCGCCCTCACTACCGGCACTATTAAACAGTAAGCACCTCCATTCCAGCGTATACACCCATATTTATGAACTAAACAAGCATAACCACACTGTATGTAATGTGCGGAGGGCAGAGCCGCAGGGAGTTGGCAGCAGCCTATGCAATTACCTTCACCTCTATAGCTCACATAAGCATTTCTCAGCTAATTCCTTTTTGTTTCTGACTAGCAACTTCCTCGCCATGCTTCACTGTCACTGCGCACAACTTTTTATCCCCAGCCACAGCATAAAGTTATTTTTCAGCTGGAAACTTTAATAAAAGCCAGAATACCACCTGCTCAGCTCTGACATAGATGCAGTACTGTGTATATAAAGACAGATATGACAGAGGCTTGTGCCACTGTGAAATATTAGTCCGAATAAATGATGGCCCCAGTGACATAGTACACCATCCACAAAGATATTGTTTCATTTGGCTTTGTATGAAAGCAATGTTATGGAATGTTTCGAACTTTGGGGTGATTTCATGTCATGAAGTAGGGTTTCTATATCTGATATTAGTTAATCACTGAAAAAGTTAAGGTGCATGAGATTAGGCTTACTAAAATAGTATCAAACCTAAATACTAACTGATACTGTAACAAATCATATAAACAGAAGAGTGTAGTTTTAGAATGCTAAAAAGATAATTTTTTTATAGAGAAAATCCCATTGGATTGTAAAAAAAAGTATGTTTTTTATTATAATTGAGGCCTTGAAATTGGTGTAGGATTTTAATTAGAACCAATATCAAGTTTAAAATATTGGTACCAAAACTACATAAGACATGGTTGTCTAATATAACTTCTGTCTATGTTCACAACATGTTATCATCTGTAAAGCAGATGTTCGGGGCTTAGATAAAATCCCGAATTTCTCAAATAAAGATGTGTTCAAACATTTAGCCAAACAGGTATTTGTGTGGTGATCTTTATTTAGCATTCTTCTACTGTTCTTGAACTTTAGTTGCAGCATTGCAATGTCCCAACTGTGGGACAAATAAAGGATTATCTTATCTTATAAATTAGTATAACACGCCAGTGATGTTTCCCAGATGGAAAATGACACTGTTTGGGAGAAGCAGGCAGTTTACAGCACGTACACTAGTAGATGGCATAGGTCCAGCAAGCTATAAAATGTTGCTTTATGTAGTTAACGAACAAAGAAAAGAAAAGGGTGGCCGCCGCCTTACACATTCATTCAGTACATTTTGTTAAAGGCAGCCTTCTTTAACAGCCGCCCTTGTTAAAGGGAGGCCACCGCGTTACACATTCATTCAGTAAATTTTGTTTAAAGGCAGCGTGTTCAATGGTTTTTGTATGATTTCAGTAGTTTGGTTATTTGTTTTTGCAGAAAACCTCTGAAACACTCCACACTCAATACAATTTAATTTTCTCCATCATTGTTACAGTTAATATAGTCGACGTACATATTAAACACAGCGTTCATAGCTGTTAGCATGTCAAATATGTATGTCATAATAACACAACATGATGATATACCTAAACCATATACATAGGGAGATGAGATTTATGCAAAAACTTGGAATTGTCCTGTCTATACTCAAACCAGGACACAAGGGGTGGGTGTCATAGATTTGATTTTCTGTACTTTCATGCATAGAACAATTCATATAATATGTATTTCCCAAAAGGGCAAAAACTATACCCACATTGAAATTATTGAAATACAATACATGAACACTAATAGCCCACTCCACTTATGAACTACTCCATTTAAATCACCAGTTCCTTCTTTGCCCCATAATAAAACATTTATCAAATCACATTGCGTATTGAAGTTTACTGCCAATAAGCTACCAAACAACCAGCAACCCGCCAGGCGACCATTTTGCCTGATAAATATTCAAGTCTGTTATGCTAATGCTAAAACCCTAGAAACGATTACACTCCTAAACACCAAGCAACAATTTCCAACACAGCCCCTGGTCTGCCTGTTTCTCAAATGACAAATAACACAAAGGACTCTCATTCAATCTCTGTGTAAATATCACCTTCAGCTGCCCCATCCCCATCCAGTGCTACGATTAGCTTGATTAGCGGTCAGCCAGAAAAACAAAACATGTCCGAACCCAGCAATGTTTTCAGAGGGACAAACAAATGTATCGTTTAAACGTACAGCTGTCTCCCTGCTGCGCCAAAGCAATCATTCTGCATCATTTACTTCCACTCCACTGGCAGTAATATCAGCATTAGGCTAGTCATTAGCGCGCGTGTCAGATTGCTACTTTTACAATCGCTAGTCTTGTTAAATGAAACTGGACGTCGCTAAATGATGGAACCATGTTAGGAGCAATTATCACAAAATTAATATAAGTTTTGTTTTGTGCAGAAGTTCTGAGGAAATTGGAAAGTGAAGCAGCTTGGATTCTTTTAATACCCTTTTGTTATATGTGACTCCTAACAAGACACAGTCATTGCGCTCGTAATGAGCTACTTTAATTGGAAATATTACTTTTGGTTCCATTGCCAGGCTAATCTTAAGATTTAACATGATCAATTAAAGGTCCTATATTATGGAAAAAGAACTCTTGTGAGCTTTAAACCATGTTATAATGTTACCTCATCAAAAACACACCTGGAGTTGTGTTTTGTTTCATTCACACATATCTGAATATGCAGGGTTTGTGCGTTAAACATGTGTGAATGAAACAAAACAAAACTCCAGGTATGTTTTTGATGAGGAAACAACATTATAAAATAGATCAGAAAATAGAGTAATATGGCCCCTTAAAACTACTTTGGTCAATTTTGAAATTGTGTCAGTGTGTTGTTTCATTTGTTTTTGTTCAAATTAAATTGTACTACATCTTAAGTAGTCTCAAGTATTTCAAATGTTCACAAATAAATAAAGTCGACTAAAAAGGGGGTGTGGCAAGAACTCACTAGACTAAGCATTTCTATGTATCTGGCCCATAACAGTACTCACTAGACTACAACTGCACGGAAATTTGTGAAAAACTATTTATTTATTTATTTGTCAGGGACAGTATACACTAATCAGCATTTCTGTAAATGTTTCATCTGTTGTCCCTGGACAAATGTTAGCATTGTCTACCTAAAAACAGTATGGTTAGAGAACATAACAGTACAGGGTTAGGGACATTATATTAAAGGTCCTATATTACCAACCTTTACTCTTGACCATGTTATAACATACCTGCAGTTGTGTTTTATTTCATTCACATGTTGCATTATTACTCTGTCTACATCTCCAATGATCAAAATGCTCTGTTTCACCTTGTGATGTCATGTAGTGTCAGTTTTCTAATTAACAGCTACCTTTTTAACTTTCATTCATTAGAGATTGAGAAAAGAACTCAACTTATGCAAGATCTGTGTGTTAAACAAGTGTGAATGAAACAAAAATCAACTCAACATAACAGATCAAAAACTATAACTACTAAAAGAACTATATAAAAAAAACAACATTCAGACAGAGAAAGACAAGGCAAAGAGAGAGTAGCAGTAAGGTGAAGACAAGGCTTATTCATTGCGTTACTTTTGACAGGTCTGATTTACTATGCTAACATTTATTTAAAGTGAATAGTACCGGTACTAGGAACAAGGCTGATTAAACACTGCATTCACTACATATCTCCCTTCTCCTTTCTGCTAAATCCTTATAATCTGAACGAAATGACTAAAGGACTACATAACCATCTCATAAGTCAGAAAGTAATGCCAAGAAAAATTAGGAAGAAATGCCTTATTTCTGTGAAGGTGGATCTGTCGTTAAGTAATTGCAATCTGATCAGATAGTAGTATTGAACTCTGTTCTCCAAATCTCTTTATCTGTTGTGTAACATCTTTATGATTCGTTAATAATATGAAGCGTTGGAAGTAGCCAGTAAGAAGATTTAGTTGCGATGGAAATAACAGCAGCACCTGACAAAACAGCACCTTCTAAACTCTATCTCAGTTTATTATTGTATGCTTTGAGAGTGCAGATCGTTTGCACATCACCATCTGTTACTGGCATTTTAACATTCTTTTTTATGCCGTGTACTCAAACTCAGTCCAATAAAGTTTAACTGTATGCTTGCTCTCTTGTCATATAAACTGACTAAATTGACTTATAGAATTATGACTTATTTGACAGTTGTCTCTTGCTATCTTTTTTGCTATGTATTTAGAAGTTATTATTATCATTTATATTTTTTACTCTTTGCAATTATAATATATTCTGATGTGTGAGCTCCTGTGTCCAAATAATTTCCTCTGTCAAACAATAAAGATTGTCTAAGTCTAAGTCTAAAGAAATATTGCACACCATTTATCTTTTTTTTTTTTTTTCAGTACATATTTGCCAGTGATGTCCAGGATCAAGGCTAACAAAGACAAGGTAAGATAAACTATCAAAGGATCTTTGTAGCAGTCTTTTCAGTATTTGATGAATAAGTAAATTATAAACTCAAACATTTCTCATGCAAAGGGTGTGGACCCTTGAAACAAATTTCTGTAAGATATTTCACATGGGTGTCATGATGAAAATTTGCTTAAGTGTTCATGTTTGAGTGTTCATTTACTGCTAAGGACTGGATTTGAGCCTAAGAACATTTCTCCCAAAGCACTCTCTGGTACATGAAATACTTTTGACAGTAGCTATTCCCTGGTTTCCTTTAAGGTCCTATATTACTCAAGATTGACTCTTGTGAGCCTTAAGTTGTGTTAGATGTTATCTCATCAAAAACATACCTGATGTTGGATTTTGTTTCGTTCACACATGTCTGAGTTATCCGGGATTCAACCATGTAGAGGTAGTTTTCAAGTTAACAGCTACATTTAACCTTTAGTTCAGTAGAGATCGGCAATTCCATGACTGAATCATTAGTGTATGAAGTTTAAAAACACTCTCGTCTATTACCACATGACATCACAAGGTGGAACAGAATGTTTTATGTTTGAGAGAAGAACTCAGCCTAAATATGCAGGTTTGTCTGCTTAACATGTGTGAATGAAACTAAAACTCCAGGCATGCTTTTGATGAGGAAACAACATTATAATATAGATTTGAAAATAGCATAATATGTGCCCTTCAATAAACTCTAATATAATTTACAGGATAGTCTATCTATGAAAATCTATATTTTCTGTCAAGCTATGTTGAAGCTGTCTGTCTGGGACTCATGAGATAAAAATGTAAGTGTCCCATGCCATACGTGCATTTGTATTAAACCAGGGCTCTAAAATACCTTGTTTTCAAATGCTTTTATTTTCTTTCACTCCTGTTAAATAGTTGAAATGACTTCATTATTCGTACACATGTTGATGCCTCCAGGAAGAATGCCACCATTTACTCCTCCACATCTGCTTTTTAGTGAAAATGGTGCTATTTATTTGGGACAAAACAGGTTGTTGGCTGCTTTTTCCTTCTTGAGGCGACCAATCAGACAACGGATCAAACTTGTAAAAACAGAAAAGTTTAGTCGCTCTCTGAAGGCCTTTTCTCTGCCAAGAAAGCAAGCCTCGATGGAAAATCATATTAGATGCGTGGTTTTTGCCAGCTATACTATAAAAAACGTTTATAGGAAGTAAAGTTTTCCATGTGGTTGAATAATGTGTATCCATGTTCGTTCCAGGTCCTGATTTACAGTCCCACATTTTTTAAGTACGTCTATGAGTCTTGGCTTGAGGGGCACGGGCGATATCCCTCCACCGGATTCCTAAGCTTAATGTTCGCAGTCCACATATGTGATCAGGTGAGGCAGTTTGATCCAACTTAAAGGTGCACTGTGTAACTTTTCTAGTGGATATTCTGCCACCCGCTTTTCTCATGAACATGTTGTTGATTGGCCAAGAATCTCCCACAGTATGGTATTTAACGTATCTTTTGTTTATTTAACTACATTATTGCTCAAAAATACCTTATAAGACATGTATTCTTACAGTGAGCAAAGCTTCTTCTCCACAGATCCGGCCTGTTATTTGGCCTGGTACCACTATCTGTTTGTCTTCATGGAGATAGGGTTACTACCATACTGTGGAACATTCAAGACAAAGCAATAACATCTCCATGGAGACAATCAAGTGGCAGATCCCTTCACCAGAAATGTTAAGCTTTAAACTATGTTAGAACATCATTACCTCATCAAAAACATACCCAGAGGTGAGTTTTGTTTCATTCACACAATTAAACAATCTATATCTATATATCTGTATCTTCAAATGTCAGCTCAAAATGTTTCACCTTGGGCTTATAGTGGTAGTTTTCAAGTTTAAAATGACCTTTTATTCAGTAAAGACTGACAGTTCCAGGTTTGAAATCATCCAACTCATTCTAAATGTGCAGGGTTTGTGTGTGTATGGTTAATGCATGGGTATGTTTATGATAAGGAAACATTTAATTAATTAATTAATAACTGAATTTATATAGCGCATTTCAAGACACTCAAAGCTTTTTACAGTTCATAACAGTACAATTAACAGTTTATATCAGAAAATAGCATAATATAGTGAATAATATTGTGGAAAAAAAAATATATATATATATGTGTATGTATATTATATATATATATATATATATATACACACACATATATATATATATATATATATATATATATATATGTGTATGTATATATATATATATATATATATATATACACACACACATATATATATATATATATATATATATATATATATATATATACACATACATACACATATATATATGTGTATGTGTGTGTATATATATATATATATATATATATATATATATATATATATATATATATATATACCTTATAACCTTACTTACTTACTAAGCAATGCTCCAGTGTAAACGAGACAGGTCACGAATCATAACGAATCATACACATGAACACAGTGCAAAGACAAAGCTCCTCACCTGGACAGAGACATCCAGAGCACATTCACTCTGCATCAGGTGTCCCTCACGCCATGATCCAGGTGTTTTACTCCCAAACTCCATTAAAAGCCTCTATGTGGGGTATATCTAATGAATGCTTAGGCCATTTCAAACTGATCCTAAACAGTGCACTTAAGTGTAAATAGTAAAACAAAGGGTGACATTAACACAAAACCGCATGTTCGCAAGGGACACTGGTGTACCCTCAGTGTTTACGGCCAGCTGCTATGACTCTCAACATGTGCATGGGTTCGGGTCGGGTCACAGTATTTTAACCCATTTGTTCAGGGCCAAGTAAACATTAACTTGTTTCATAACAGAATAGTAAATACCGTGGTATTGCAAAATTGCAGTTATTGCAACAGCCCTATAAAAACTTACAGTTTTTGAATCTTTATGAGACAATGGTTTACTCATTCAAATAAAACCAAATAAAGAAAAAAATAGCAATGTAAAAGTACATTCATAGCTTAATTAATTAATGTATGGCTTGCTAGCCCGTTTCACTGCGGAAATCCTATTCAACTGCCAATATGGAGTTTTTTAAATCCAGTGAAAGGTGCAGGATTTTTTTCTACCCTTAATAATGTATACATCCTAGTGCGTAACAGTAATCCAAAATCTCTGAAACGCTGATAAATTTTCTTCACTGTGGCCCACGCCGTTTATGGGGTTTAGGAGGTGCATGCTGGGATTGTATGACAACAACTGCAGGAGCTCAATAGAAATGTCCAACCAACATAAAATAAATAGTGCCAACCTCATTGGACTAATCTGTCTAATCTGTCTGTCTACATTGATTAAAAAAGAAATAATTGTACATTTGTTGTGACAGTAACTTTTGCCAGTTGAACTATTGCCAAACCAAAAAGATTATCTATTTGGCTGCGGATTGCATTTAAATTATGACTATCCATAAATCGTGTGTAAAATGGGCTTCAGTGGTAAACTCGGGAATGTGTTTGTTGTTTGGAGTAGTGTCAATACAGATGTGAAAGGAAATTAAATGAAACGCTATCATTTAAACACACAGTTTCTAACCTTTTCTAAGTTTTTCTGCTCAAATATTACAATTTCCATAGCTTAGTCCATACCTAGCAAAATGTGTAATAAACAAAACAAAACAAAAAATCTCTTCCCCTATTTTAAAATTTAAAAAATTCCAAGCATTTGAATTAACTCTGCTTCCTTCTCGCTTTAGGTCAATGTATTTGGATTTGGCGCAGACCAAAATGGGAACTGGCACCACTACTGGGAGGAAAACCACTTGGCTGGAGCTTTTCGACACACGGGGGTCCACAATGGAGACTATGAGTACAATGTGACTCTGCTGTTGGCAGACAAGCACAAAATCAAGATGTTTAAAGGCAGATGATAGCGAGCCCTGTGCCTGTGCAGCGAGACAGCCTAACGAAGCCCAGCGCCTTTAATGATGCCTCACACCTCCACCTGCTGACACACTGTAAAGGACATGTTCATACAGCCCTTCTGATCGTCTCTTTTGGGGATCTGAGCTGAAACCAGTCTCCAGCCACAAGGGAAGAATGGTAGAGGAGTTTTAATGGGCATGCTTTTGATATGAAAATGTAATTGTAGGCTTTATATGACAGGCAGAATTGTGGTATCAATCGAAGATTAAAACATGTTATTTTTTGAAGGGATTGTTCTCATTTTAAAAAAAGTAAAAAAGGGTACATTAAAGGTGGACTATGTAAGTTTCTGGTAGCTTGTCTCAATGGGGATGTTATCACGTTGAATGGAGTGTTCCACTTTATGGCATTCAACTTTACTATCTCCATGGAGACAAGCAAGCAATGCCTGAAGAGGTTTTATATGTCATCCATGCATGTTTGAGTAATTTAGTAATCTCTCCTGACCACTATTTCAGCCCTCCTTGTGGTTAGGAGGCCTATCCAAGCTCACAAACTTTCACAACCCATGCTCCCAAACAGCCATTTCAAATACACAAAAGCATGACACATAGAACAATACACTTTCAACTTCACAAACCCAGTGCAATGTGTTAGCAATTAATACACCATAGAAGTACCTCATTTTTATTACAACGCTATGGAACATCCCTGGAAAACCAGAAACCTCTGTGTGGAGACAAGCATGTGGCTGATCCTCTACTAGAAAAGTTAGATAGTGCACCTTTACTGTTAGATAAAAGTGTGTATTTTTGGAGTGTGCATTATTTCACATGACATAGGGGATTGGCATGCAGTTGTAAAGAATTGTTTTACAAATGTTCGATCCACACCACCAACTTTCAATTTGCTTCCCTGGCCCAGCACTGACCTGTGAACCGCCGTCCAAATACAACTATTACTTTTAATGCAAAGTCATCCACACCAGGTTGAACACAAGTCAAAATAATTTAAAAGCTGCCAACTACATCAGGCACTGCAAGCACATTTAGAAATTAGAACATTGTGCAAAACTCAAATGTGCAAGTTACAATTAAAAGTGTAAATCTTATTTGGTGACAGCCCTTATTGGAAATATCAGAATAATCAAATCATGACATTGGCCAATTTAGTCATTTTGGTCTAGTAAATTGCAGAGAGAGGTCATGCAAAAGTCATGCAACATGATGGAAATGTCTCCAAGTGCTAACCCTGTGATTTACTGTGATTTGCCCCGCCTCACTTATCCTCTCTGCCGTTGTTATAGCAATGTGATTCAGCCATCTCCATTCTGATCCTTGAACAAGAATGAGCGCTGCATTCTGATGTAAACAAGATTAGAAGTGCTATACATATTCTACACAATCCAAGAATAAGGGTGGGTTAGCAGAGATAGAAGTCCTCTGTCTAGTAACTATCACTCAATACAGACGCAAGGCCAGCTTCACTATTTCATATCGTAGCCTATTTCATATTCTGATACCGGTTGTGGAAGTAATTTTGTCCCCATCACTGTGATTTCTAACTGGAATTTTAGAAAGTAGCTTCTCCTCCGTGTTACCCGTGCCATGATTGTCGGTTGATTGCGGCAGTGAAACGCATTTTGACTATGGCAAAGGACACTTGTTAAGGCGCATATTCACCAGAGGAAATACTTTAGCTGCAGCGGAGAAGAATCGGGAGGTGGAATGTGAAAAATTGTATGTAAATGGGATATATAATGGGTTTTGAGTTAGCACATTACTCTCCCAATATCAAGAACATTCTGTAATCAGCATGTTATGTGTGTTACTTGATTTTTTTTTGTTTTAGTTTGTGTCTGTTTATTTTGCAGGTTTAAGTGCCGCAATGTTCATTATGTGTAAAATCTTCAGCTCATTGTACAATTTTGAACTACAGAGAGTAGAAAACAATGGTCATAATCTAATCCTGCATATTTCATGAGTTATGCATCTTTTAAGGTAACATTAGAGTTTATTGATTATTTCTGCAGTTACATTGCCTAAATCCTTAGAGAGATAAGACATTCCGCCTCTCATCGAAGTGGCTTTATCATTTGACGGCTGAGTATATAGCCTATGAGGGGAAAACACATACAGCAGTTATGGTGATGTAGTAGGTCCAATATTATACAAAACGGATTATTGTGAGCTTTTAGCCATGTTAGAATGTTGTTACCTCATCAAAAACATACCTGGTTGTGCTTTGTTTATTCACACTTATTTGACTAACCCTTTATTATTAGTTTGTCTACATCTCCAAAGCTCAAAATGCTCCACCTTGTGATGTCATGAAGTGATAGTTTTCAAATCAATGGCTACTTCTTACCTCATTTTCAGTAAAGATTGGCAATTGTTGTGCTGAAATAATCCAAATGATTCTAGTGAAGGTGTATAGAGTTTAAAAACACATTTCTAGATTAAACAAAACACAACTGTGGGTGTATTTCTGATGACTAAACAATTTTAAGTGTGTGTTATGGTTCTTTGGTCTGTAAATGCCAAATGGGTATCACATGTCCTAAATTTGATTCCAGTCAGGGCAGGTAAACAGGGTTATGGTTCTGAAGAATCATATGCATACTGCCTTTTATTGCATGTTAGTGATTAGAAATAGTTTTACAACTAGATACAGACAGTTTGCACTGGTTTTATTTGGTCATAAAATACTGCTTTTACAGTTTGACTTTATGGGATACAAATAAAGCTCCTCATTTATAACTATTACCTAAAATGGCCTAGGTTAGTAAAGAAAAGGTTAGTTTAAAGCTTTACAAAGTCTAGTTTAAACCTTTACATGGAAACTATTTTTTTCTTTTGCTATTGATACTTAGCAGTGACATCATACTGGGGGTGTTCTATGTGTATATCTAATGATGAAATGTTTAGGAGTTACCATGGTAACATAATGCACATTTTAGCTTTAACACATTGCCCAAACAGTTTTAAGATAGTATGAAAACTCAAGAATCTTCTGGAGCCTACGATCAATCGAGTGTTCATGGTCCTGTTGTTGTTAGCTAGCTTGCTGTGTGAGAGGCGTGTTTATCAGTAAATCAGCTCACCTGTAGTTCTTTAAGATGAGCTGATTTATGGTCAGAATGAATCAAAATAAAGCACAGATTAAAATATAATAAAACCTCAACCCCAACTCCCAGGGAATGTAATGCAACACTGCAAAGTATCAATAGTACAAATTAGTCTATATAATATTGTAAATTATTTATTTCCATTTCCATACATTTGAAATGTATATTGGTAAGTTGTAAACCACCTTCCCCCTGCCTGAATCACAATGTATACTAATTCTAGCCCACACATTAGCCACAACTTTTACCACTATATCATTGAACCAAAAGCTGTTTTTTTTTTATTAGCATTGATTTATAATGTCTTCTCATCCATCAACTGTACCATGTGTTTAATGCATACTATAACATACACTCTAAACTGCCATCTCATAAAACTGGCCCTTAAGCTGTCAGAGTGTACTAAAACTGTGCCAAAGTTTCAAATAGTGTGTATAGTGTATGTACATGGAGGCATAACAGAATCCAGTTACTGTCGGACCAGGGAACATAAATCCATTAGATTCTGTCTTTCACCATAATGAAGAGTAGATGCTTAAACCTCTATTGTTGTCTAATGCACATGGTGTGTATAGGGGTGCCTTAAATTTATGGACTGCACATTGTGACTGTAAAATTCTAAAATGTGGTTAATGTGAAGTGCCTTTCACTCATTTTGCTATGAAGCTTTACTGTGATGGAATGATTTTTCTTTAATTTTTTATTATGAATTAGATTTTTTTTTTTTCTCTCTCTCTTTTTATCTTGCATGTTTGAAGACCATTGCCAAATTCCAAAGTAGACTGATTTTAAGGAGTGGTTTTCTGGTGCACCTTTCTTATCTAAATATGTGGAGCAATTTGCAGCACTTAAATCAGTTGTATAAGTTGGGAAACACATTTGATTTTGGGATATTCACTGGCTAACATTTCTTTATTGTGCCTTGACTTTGTCCAGAGTGGACAAGTAAATGAGTCGAAGGAAGTAATTGGCACATCCACGTCAACCAACAACATTGTGGACAGTTCCACCTAGTGGCCAAACTCTTGATCAGCTTTAATTTGACATGAAAGGTCAATTGTTAGACCAAATCATTATCATAATTATTTTAACATTTTACACGGATTTGTATTGTTAAAATGCTCAAATAAACTTTCTTTAAATCTTCTGTAAGTGTTGAGTGGCAATGACATCTTTATTTGGTATGATAGAATATTTAAATTTATTTATTTGATATAGCCTTAGCAATTACAGTGGACAAACCATTTACATTGTTTCAAGTGTTATAGCAGCCCCTAATTTTCAAAAAAAATTTCATGAATGGCTACTTTTGGAAGAAATCTTACGACCAGTTACATAAATGACATGTAACTCTTCTGGTGGTGGGTCTCCTTGTTTGTATTATTGCTTTGTCTGAAAAGTTCCACTTCCATTATGTAGCGTTTTTTCACTGCTAAGGAATACATTTAAAACTTGCATTCTTACTGTGACAAAAATCAAAACTCCACAGACCTGTAACTTATCCTGGCCACCTGATTGACTTAATAGAAATTGATAAGTTTAATGCCATACTGTGAATTGTTTAAGCAAAGCAACGAGCAGATGATGTCCTCCTATTGCACAGTACACCTTTAAATTAGATGCAGATCCACTAGTACACTCTTTGTTATAGAAACGCAAGTACTTAAAGAATTTTTTTTGCGCTGTCTCAAAAAGAATTTCAGCGATCTCTCCCAGGCCCTATTTGGACTTTCCTTATGGTTAGCTGTAAGATTCTGTGCAATGCTCAGCCCAAAAGCCTATGTCACCCATGCTCCCACATGACAATCGTCCATAAATATGCCAAAACATTATATAAAACTGTACCAACAACTTGACAAACCTGATGCTATCTGCAGTAGTTTAAATAGCTCCAAAAACAAAAGTAAAAATTGTTAATAAGTTATTGGCAAATATGGCATTTTCAAAACAATAAAAGGTAACATGGTGATCTAAATATGTTATGTGTTAGCAGTTAATTGCCCATAGAAATGAAGTACCCCCTCTTTAACAGAGTAGGAGTAGTTTTCAATTTCGCAGTTTAGTACCTCTATAGTTACTGTACTTCACTGTTACACTGATACTAGCAAATGCACAAGCACAATAGGTAAAATCCTTCAGCTAATGTAATCCTGACAGATTGCTCCTGCAGCACTGAGTGAAGGGTCAAATGTAGAGGAAAGATTTCCCTACTGGGACAATAAAGTGTATCTTAATTGCAGTAATTAACACAGTTATGGAAGTATATTTGCATCTGTGGAAGTTGTTGACAATAATTATAAACTATTTCCTCCTAATTGTACCCACCTTCTCTACCAATCACACTAGCTGAAGTACTTTGCCCAAGGACACAACAGCAGTTTGCAACACTCATACCAGAGACCAAACTGCGCACTTTCAGGTCAGTAGGCGTGTGTAAAACTTATGCTAATGTGACAATCCGTGCTGTATTTTAGGCAGGCAGATTCATGTATTATGTATTGTTGAACACACAGGAATTTCACTGCAGTCATATTTAGCATTACTGATCTTATGCGCTGACTGTGTACAATCCCGGTTCGCCTTGAGGAAGTGGCAAATGTATGCTGCAGATGCCGGCTTCCTTCCTACATGCATCAGTGGAATGAAACGTGCCTGCTCCTGACACTAAGTGCTCCCATGTTTTATTTTATTTGTTTATTTTTTTTTATTTTTTCTGCCCATGTATCCTCTGTCTTTAATTTGTCATAATGCTTCACGTTGCAGCTCTTATTCCCTGGAGAAAGTTTCCCCCCAAAAACCGCCATTAAAAGATTGCTGAGTTGCTGAAAACCTTGACTTGTACTATAAACAAAACAGACTATAGGCTTGATATATGGATTATACCTTCAGAAACACCCTATATTGGTAACAGTTTCCTTAATGCAATCTATATGCTATATTAAAATGTAATCAGATGTGGCTTTTGCCGGGCCTGCATGGTAATGACATGGAAAAGTAATTAAAGACACCATGCTGTGAGTTGTATGGAATTTCAAATCGCTATCAGTTTCATTATGGTGTAAGGTTTGCCCTATAGAAAAGTCATTACAATCTCATCAAGACCATTCATCAATTGAGATTAAAGACTCACAACTGTAGGGAGGTGAGCTCAGATTGTTGCATGGATTTTGAATATAGTTTTGATGCTATTTCAGATTAGGCAATTATATGATTTGGAAAATAGTGCTCCACATTGAGAGGAGCTATTATGTGAGCATTTAGAGCCAAGTTAGGCATCTATATTGTATAAGCAGACTGTAGAATTTAAACAGAAATAATAATAATTCTTAGGATTAACAGTGAATTTCAAGAGCTTTACAGTGCATTATTCATTCACTCCACAGTGAAGTTTGTCAATTGTCTTGCCTAAGGACACAACAACAGTATGCACCTTACCACTGCAGTCCCACTGGCAGCTGGTATGTGGTCACCTGCCCAAGTGCCACCAGGCCCGGCCTTGCTTAACTTCTGAAATCTACAAGATGTATTTGTAAATGTAAATATGACAGATTATAGCCTTGGGTTATAATCTGGCAGTTTGCAGAGCCCCTGGCATGTTGATGGTATTAAAAAAAAAAAAAACAAAAAAAAAAAACACTCTTTACAGAGACAATGTACACTTAGAAAAGAAATGTGGAAAAAATACAAGAACAGTGATAACAGTCTCATGTGAGTACAGACATTTATCAGTAACATGCTAGACAAGCCGGAGAGTGAAAGACATTTAGAAATTTTATGCCGCTGTATTGCACATCCCCTCATATTGCAGATTTATATTGCACAGACTCATATTACATGTGCCCATGTATTGCACAAATTCCTACTGTTGGTGTTGATAAAATAGCATTGCACATGTCCATAGTTTATACATTTTAGCTCACACATAATCACATGTTTGTATGTCTTTCAACCACAATTTGAAATGCTTCGAAAAAAGCAGAGAAACTAGTGCTTTCCCTCAATGAGAGTTCTAGGAGGTTACATGCTGGTAGGACAAGACTTTCTGGGAGAAAGATGTTCGTCTAAATGGGAGTTCACAGTCACCTCTGACAGTGGCTCCAGTTATCCAGAATCCTGACACACAGGTTTTTGTCTGATAAAAGCATTCATTGGAGGAGGGAAGAACAGTGGAGAACCTTGCATATCGAACAAGCAGATAAAAATTATTTGAAATACGCAAAATTCTGAAAATTATATTTATTGAATATTTGGTGCAAGAAAATAGCTTCTTATCTAGGATTTTCAGTACTCTTCTTGGTGAATTACATACATTTCCTACAAAAAACAATACTAGAATACCAAAAAAAAAAAAAGAAAAGAAAAAGCAATCAAATAAATAAAAAATTGGGAAGCCAAAACTGGAAACGTGAAATTAGGAATTATGTTAAATTCTCATCTCATCATCTCAACAGGTATAGTCATTTGTTTAACGGGACCGAAATCTACTCTATTTTGTTTTTATAGAATAGGATAGAAGAATTAATTTAAACAAATGAGTTTAGCACTACCATCTTAAATGTGTGGTGCATTTGCATATGTTGAATAAAGGTTACTTCAGAACAACTGTAATAGACACTGAGACATTCAGAAGAAACAACACATCAATAAAAAGCACCATTTACATATGTATGAGACATCTGTTTACAATTGCTGATGCAGGCTACAGGCCCATATAGCCTCGCCCAGGGCATAGGCATAGGTCTACCTGAATAGGAGAAAGGTGGACCTATTCAACATCATCACAAACTTAAGATAGGCTAGGATTAGTTAATAACTAATAAAGTCCAGTAGTGACTTATTGTTCTGTACTGTGCAGCCTAATGATCCAGCATAATGATTGGATTCACATAAATCACAAGCCAGACAGGACAGGCTATGGTCCATTTCAAAATCGAGTCTTGACTTTTATGGCTGTCATAAAATGGATTTAAGTACTAAGCCCCATTAACCTTCGGTGCATTGCTAACCTCTTATTAAACACCACTTAGACTCACCACTTTCAGATGATATTGGCATATTTGTGCGTTTCTTCTCCTATTAGTTGTTAGGTTTGAGGACATTTCACCATTCAAAAGATATATTTGTTAATTGTGACAGTTCTAATTTTTCATGAATCTAATAACCATGACAACATAGTCAGTACTTTTCCATATGGCCATCATTTGAACATCCATTTTGAGGAAGTTACTTATTCAGTGTTTTTAATTAAACATAATAATGTTATTTAAGTAGACTGGCTTTTAGTCTTAAAGATGCATTATGTAACTTCTCTGCTGGAGGGTACAACACCTGCTTATCTCCATAAAAATGTCACACACTTTGCTGCATGAAATATTCCACAGTATGGCAAGCATGTATTTAATTAAAGGTGTAACATTTCAAGCAAAGAAAATATACCTGGGTGGGAACTAGCAGATGACACAGAAAACAGGCGAATTTGCAGGTAAACTAATTAATAGAAACAGCAGACAATGTGGCAATATAATAATAATCTATCTATCTATCTATCTATCTATCTATCTATCTATATCTATCTATCTATATCTATCTATCCATCCATCCATCTCTCTCTCTCTCTCTCTCTCTCTCTCTCTCTCTCTCTCTCTCTCTCTCTCTCTCTCTCTCTCTCTCTCTCTCTCTCTCTCTCTATATATATATATATATATATATATATATATATAAAAGCTCAAAATGTTCTGACATGAAGCAAGCTACATTTTACCTTTCTGTGGGAGTGGTAATTTCAGGACTGAAATCGTCCTTTCTAGTGAATGTGTATGGAGTTTAAAAAACAGTAGAGCACTTCATTTATGGTCATTGTACTGTTTTTAGTTTGAAAGAAGAACTAAACATAAATATGCAGGAGTTGCGTATTAAATGTGTGAATGAAACAAAACACAACTCCGGGTATGTTTGTGATGAGAAAACCACATTATAACATAAATCAGAAGATCTCGTAATGTGAGCAATTTAATGTGGCCTGTCTCTTTAAGACGTACACTCACGTTGAGCCACCCAACAAGCAGCACAATAAGGAAGTTCCCCTTGCCCGATAAACTCGTCCAACCAACCCAGGCAGATGGTTTTAAGAAACACAGGTGAGTTATGTGCTGTAAATATAGATAATACACATAAACAGATTAATTTGCAATGCATATTTTGATAAACTGTCATCTTAAACAGAAAATAAGCCGACATAACGCTAGCATAAAACATGACACGAGAGTTGGTTTCACTTTCTGTACTAAGTAATGACATATGCACTAATAAGGTTCAGCATATGATACATTTATTCCTTTGAATACGCATTTAGGAGTGGCAAAGCTACTTTTTATATTGAGAAGTACGTCAGCTACCTAACTAAACTTATTGGACAGGACGTTGTCAACACCATATACCCACATTCAGCATGGCCTCCGCTGACGGTCCGACAAACATGTTGTAAACACATTTAATAAACTCATCAATAATGCTCGGTGTAAACTTCTAAATATATATTTCGTTGCAGTTAGTTTATGTTTTTACTTCCATGGTTGCAATGCATGGTTGTTTCCTCATCAAAAACATATCTGGGGTTGTGTTTTGTTTAATTCACACATGCTTAACATACAAATCTCGCATATTTAGGCTGAGGCATTCAGCCTACTTTGTTACACCTGTCATTTGTTAATACAGGAAGTGCTCCACTGTGTGTTAAACAAAAAAATAAATAAATAAACGACAACTTCACTAGGATCATTTGGATAATTTCAGCCCTGGAATATCCTGTCTCTACTGAAAAAGGCAAAAAGGTAGCTGTTAATTTGAAACTATCACTTCATGACATCACAAGGTGGAAGCATTTTGAGCTTTGGCGATGTAGACAGACTAATAAGTGTGAATGAAACAAAACACAACTTCAGGTATGTTTTTGAGAAGGTAACAACATTATAATGTGACTTAAAACTCACAAGAGTAATTGTTTGCATAATATATAGTAAATTGTAGTTCAGATTAAAGGCAAACCATGACATTTATTATAATTTTATTTTATTTTTTAAATAGAGGAATTAACTTAGTTTATTCCTGTTATTGCTGGCAGATGGCCTCAGAACATTGTATAGGCCAATAATATTTAATATAGGTTGAGGTCAGCTAAAATTTATATTTTTTAAATTAATTTTTGTTGCATTGTGATACAAGAGATTAATGTGTCTTGTTACTTATAGAAATCATTATTTTAAACATTTGTGAATTAAACCCTTAAATATTTCATGGAAAAATACAAAGTAATCAATAGGGGAAACTCACGCATGATGTTGAGCAGTGGTATGAAATGTGCAATGATTATCTTTAGATTCCTAATATTGTTAATCTACAATAGAATAATGTGTGTAATGTTCCAGGATGACAGAGATCCAGCAGGGTTGCGTGGTGGAGGTGCTGGGGCTTCCTCAAAGCGTGGATGATGAGCTGCTCGCCCTCTACTTTGAGAACAAGCGCAGGTCTGGAGGAGGTCCTCTGGTCTCTGTGGACAAGAGAGGAGACTCTGCCATTTTGGTGTTTGAGGAGGCAGAAGGTAAGGCAGGAGTGGACTAAGCATCTACTAGCTTTGAAATTGTGTGCTTTTTGCATTTTATTTGAACTATTTAGTCTTTTTTTGGTCCCCATATAGGAGTGGTATTGACAAAAATTAATGTCCTGACTCCTGATAACGATATATTATGTCAGACAGCACTATATCGAACCGCTTGTCAAAGCCTGATCCCGTCAGATCTCAGAAGCTAATCAAACAAAGCAACAAATAAAATTGCTGCCATCCACCCTCAACTCTGTTCACAATCTGATCAGTCTGTGTTAATTGATTTTAACCATGTATCGTTGTGCACAGAGCCTATTTCTAACGATAAAAGGTACTCTTTATTATATAATTTGTTTAGATACTAGCTCAGTTGCAACATAAACACTAAGTCGTGTTGCCTTGTGTGGCTGAAGAGGGGGCGACCACAACATGTTGGTCTAGGTTGGCCCTGCTCCAGACGTAGGACAGGGTGTGGCTCTAGTTTTCAATAACCCTATCCTACATACATGATAACTACTGCATGTCTGAGTGGTGCTGTAATAGAACCTTAGGCAAGGCACTTCACCCACATTGTCTCGTATTAATGTGCTGAGTGTGTGCATGTTGGTGGTGGTCGCGTCCATCAATCTGTCCCAGAGCAGCTGTGGCTACAATAGTAGCTTATCACCACAGAGTGTGGAGTAAATTAATAATGCATGAAATTGTAAAGTGAATCTGGAAAAGCATTATAAGACTAATATTTTAACTTTCACAATAGTATCAATGTTTTGATTATCTGGCCTCCTCTATCCCTACATGATTTCCCACTGCATCCAGTTCAAGTAATATGTAAAGGTTTCAGTGTATTCAATGAAATCACTATAAAATATAGCCCTAATATAACCCTTTGGCTTAATTAGATAGAATGGCAGAGCATGAAATTAGTGGGAGAGGAGTTTAAAGAAGTTTTGCTCTGTTGAAGATTGAACTCCGATTCCCTCAAACCTAAGATGCATTTGCGGTGCAGCTCTAACCACTAAGCCAAGTGGGATCTTGTAAAATAATAATTAACAGTGTTATGTAGAATGATACTGCTTTAACATATTGTAGGATATTGTATTGTACGGTCATCTCATTTCAGTTCTGTTCTTGTATGTTTGTAATAGCTGCGGCTCGGGTGCTGTCCAGAGAGCACCATGTGGTCCATAATGCGGAGTTGAGCGTGAGGAAGCCCGCCTCGAAAGACCCATGTCGATTTTTATTGAAGGGCATAAACCCCAGCACAAGCATTGAGATGATCGAGCTCTTTGTGGAAAACCTAATGAACCTCAATGTGCAAGACTACAGCCTGCTCCCCTCAGCTGACAAAAGACTTCTCCTCATTCAACTCAACCAACCCCTTGCACAAGGTTTGCTACTTTTACATCTGATATAGTGATGATGTTTACTGATAATATGGGCACTTAAAGGTGCACTGTGTAACTATTCTCTACCTGCTTGTCTTCATGGAGATATCATTGCTTTGTCTGGAATGTTCAAGAGTATGACATTAATTAAATACAACTCCATGGAGACAAGCCAGGTCAGCACCAGGTCAAGTTACAGGTCATGTCTGTGGAAAGAAAACCCTGCAATTGAATAAAACTGTTGAATATATAATGCATATAGCATTAACATCTCCAATGAGACCAGCAGGTGATGCACCCTCCTCTAGAAAAGTTACACAATACCCCTTTAATGTGACTGTGTCATTTGATTTTACAGATTTTCAAAAGCTCAGTGAACGAATCTCCAAAAGACATCTTAGTGGAGCAGCGGTCACTCTGGAACATGTGACAGAGACAGATTCAGTCTTAGTGGAGAATATCTACCCAGGCACCACAGCAGACCTGATCTCTTTGTACTTTGAGAGCCAGCGCGGAGGGGGTCAGCGGGTGAAGGAAGTGCTCATGCTGTCAGAGGGCTCAGCCAAAGTGACTTTTGTCAGCTTTGAGTGTAAGTTTACCACTGTACAGTTAACATTTTCCAATTGTCTTATTTGTATTTTGACAGCTGTCTGAAAATGCCTTAGTGTAGTCATGATACTACAATTTCAAACTTGATTTTGATATGAAGGAACAGGCTCTGTACACACAATACAGATTTTGATACCACAATGATAATAATAATAAAATAAAAAAAAACCCACTACATTCTTTTTGTTACTGTATGGCCTTATACTAGTTCTGGTAAACCTCAACATCTTCCTCAAACATTTCAGGAAAGGTCCTATCTTCTGTTTGTCACTTTAAAAAAAATACAGTTTAGTGTCTAATCTCAATACTGGTTTTAGCATTCATTAGTATCTTGATTTTTGATACTTTTGACAACCCTAGCCATAATACTTAATTTTATGACTACTCTGCACTTAATTTCATAGATAGATAGAAAATCCATTGGAAATCATATATTTAATCCCACATTAGTTGAACAATTTGAATTAATAACATAAACAGTTTACTATTATATAATCAAATTCAACATATACCCACTCTCAGTTTCTTAGTTACATGTATTTATACTACATTCTAAAAAATGTCCAATGTATTGAAAAATAATCACTTTTGTAATGACATGTCTGTATTTCTTGACAGCTGTTAACCGTGTCCTGAGTCAACCTCACAAACTGGATAACACTGAACTGGGGGTAAAACCTTACTTTGACTTTCTCCAACCAAATGAAGCCACACCTTCACCTCCACCACAATTACCGGACCCTCAACCCATTGGCCCCATTATCACCAACCAAGTGTCTGTAGAACAAGACGATATTCCAATGCAGACTACTCCCACTACTACACCTGTTTTGGCTAATGCTAACAGCCTGCCGCCTCCCGCCGTAATCCCAGATCTTCCCATTGACACAGTTGAAGTCATGGAGGAGTCCCAAACAGAGGAGATCCAAATCACAACTGAAAATATTGCTATCACAGATTTACCCAAACTTGCTTTGTTTCAGAAAAGTACACTAGCTCAAGATATTGAAAAATCGTACCCAAATTACAAAATTACAATTACGAACAACGGCCTTTCCCTAACAGGTCCTAAAGGAACTGAAATGGACCAAGTTAAATGTAAACTTACTGAGTTTTTTAGCAACATAACAGAAGTCAGGTTTACTGTAGAGCAGGAGAAAGCGCAATTTTTGGCACAGGAAGATGTAAAAGACAAGCTTGCACAAATGCTCAGCCAATCAGGCGCACTGACTTTGTATACACTGTCTGACTGCAATGTTGTGGTGACATCAACATCTGCAGGTTCTGCAAGGCAAGCCAGTAGCATATTAAAATCACAATTGTGTAGCTTTAGCATGCAAGTGGATCCACAATACGAGAGCATGCTGTATTGTCGGGAGTGGCAGGAGTTCTGTCAGGCTCTGGGATGTGTGAAAGTGTCCGAACGCGGAGGGAATCTGGATGTGTTGACTCTAAAAGGGATGGAGCAGGAAAAGCAGGCGGCCATATTAACTTTTCTCACCACGCCGATTGAAAGGGAGACATTCATTCAGATGGAGCCGGGCAGACTTAAGTACATCCAGATCCACTCACATCAGCTGCTGGCAGACATGACGGAGGTGTCCATTTTCCCAGTGGAGACAGAGGACATCAGTGGGTTAAAGGTGAGTGGACTTGGACAGGTGCGATAGTGTCAAGATTTATTTTAATGAAAGAGCCTACATTTGATCTATGTTGTAATGTTATTTTCCTCATCAAAATTATGCCTGCAGTTTGGTTTCATTTAGACATGTTTAGCACACAAATCTTGCATGTGTTGGCTCTCAAACTGAAAACATTCCACTGTTCCACCTTCTGATGTCATCAAGTGGTAATACAGGAAGGGCACCACAGGGTTTTAAACTCAGGAATTGCCTAACATTGAACCAACTCCTATTGTTTAATCCTCATTGAAGCTACTTGACTCCTTGGTTCATTAGCAGATAATTGAGACTTTTTGTGGCAATCTCAACTGAACAAAGGAAAAAAGGGCAACAAGGTTATCTAACTCTAGAATATTGCAGTTCAATTGAGGCTAAAAACAGCTGTTAACGTCTTAGCGAGGAATTTGACAGCCTAATAATACCAGATTACTCATACCTGTGTGAATGAAACAAAACAACTCCAGGTATGTTTTTGAGGAGGTAACAACATTCTAACATGGCTAAAAGCTCACAAGAGTCAATTTTGCGTAATATATTACCTTTAATTGTGATTAATCTTGCTGTAATACATAATTATCATTCCAAAAACTGAATTTATGAATTTCAGAAAAAAGACTTGCTAATTCCCTTATAAAATGTCCACTGTAATACAGACACATTACATTGTTAATACATTGTTCTCTGTTGGTTTGTACACAACCACAGCTTCTCAAAAGGTCTACCTTACGAATTAATGCATTGAACTGAATTAATCACTTGAAATCTAGTAATTCTCCTTTTCAAATGTTGATAGATTTATGGCCACCCCACTGCATGCCAAATCGCAGAGGAACTTCTCCAGGGCCTGGTGAATGAAATCTGCACCAAAACCATCACCGTGAACGCTCCAGGGGTCACACGCTTTTGGCAGACGGACGAGTGCAAGAAAATGTTCAACGATATGGAGACCAAGTTTCAAGTCTGCATTTTTCCTGAGATGGTTCCCTGGGTGCCACCACAGAACCAGGTACTATTGCATTATTTTATTTCTGTCAGCTTTTAATGTGCATTCTCAGAAATGTTCGACAGTGAAGCCTTGGGCAAGTGAAGCTGTACACAGAGAAGTGACATAAGTTTGGTTCAATGCTTCTGCTTCACTAAATTCTTCTTGCCTTCAGCAGTTTGTTTATCATTGCGAGAAAATGTCACGCTGGAGCTACGGAAAAAACTCCTCTGACAGATACTGACTGGCAGCATCTTCTACACTTTGTGGTTTTATGATGCTTTTGAGTTTTGGGCCATTTCTTAATAGAGGTTCTGTCTTTTTGAAAAATGTTTAAGGGACTACATTGTTGAATTAAACTGGAGATGTCAAAACAAGGTGTTATTTAAGTGTTTCATCACAAAGTCCTGCTCCTTGGAAATCCAAGAACAAGCACATGAAGAAGTTGTTTCATAACTCTTAAATATATGTGCTTTGAACATTTAATCTCAGGAGTTATAAAGCTTTTTTAATTACTTTTTTCTTAGTTTTGATTCTCTTTGTCAGTTTTCACAATTTCTCTTTCTCTCTCTCTTCTTTCTTCAAACAAACTGTAATGCCATTTACCTTACTCTATTTAACATTTGTATAGTTGTTTTAAAGTTTATATTGTGTTTCATGTTTTGTAAAGTGACCTTGTTAGTGTTACAAAAGTGCTTATTAATAAAATGTATTATTATTATTGCAATATTGCATTTTTATTTCATTTCAGAACATGCTTGAATGTGCATGGAAGATAATGTCCGACAAAAACTTCCATTTCCGAGAGACTCCAAATGGTTTAAGCCAGGATGCGATGCAGACTGATCACACTGAAGCCAACACTAGTAATACAGTACATCTTATTCTAACATTTACAGTATATTGAGCAATTCTCTACAATTGCTAACATTTTCTTTTGTGCAGGTTTGATCAACGAAGCTAAAAAGATTGTTTCGGTGATTGAAGAAACTCCATCAGAGCCCATAGATGTTCCTGACGCATTTGAAGACATGGACGACGTTGACTTGTACTCGGCAGAGGAACCCACAGATCTCCAAGAAACTTTAACACCCCAGGCAGAACATTCTGAAAATCCTCTAACGCCAGGAGCATCCGGTTTCTCACCTAACCTGGAAGAAGAGGCTCAGCTGTCTCTCGCTATTCAATACTCAATGGAGACCAGTCAGTGGTCTATGGAGGATGAAGATACGCAATTACAAAAAGCATTAGAATTATCCAGGCAAATGAGCCAAGAAGCCCAAAACATACAACAACAGCCATCCATACGAACATTACAAGACACCATCGAGTCAGCCAATACTCTTAACTTAGTTGTGTTTGCAAGCTACAAGTCTGACTTGACTCGTGTAGACATAGCGTTTAACAAAAAAGTTAGTCAGAGACAAGATGAGCAAAAATTAGAGCACAGGTGTCTAAAATACATATCCAGTTTCCACAAAACGTGTTTGGATGTGATACGGAGAAACCATGCAGTCAAAATTGATATAGTAGGCACGATAATAAGCGTTTCAGGCTTTAAGACCTACGTAGATGAAGCAATTCCTGATGTGAAACTGCTTTTAGATAAAATGTCAGATACAAAGTCAGATAAGGAGATTTTAAGGACAGTGCAGTGGGTTCAGCATGATCCAACTACGCAACAGAAGACTCCATATCCACCTGATCTGACCGTTCTTCTGCAGAATGCATGGAGAATGAAGTTAAAAACACTGGACGTATTACTGGATAATCAGCCACACACCATAAACATTGAGAAGATGGAAAGTCATAACATTGCATCAGGAGCAGTGCTGAAGATCTCCAGACTGCCCGTCATTCCAGACGACAATGCAGAAACATTTGTACCAGGTAACTTAAAGGTGTAATACGTAACTTTTTTGGTCAGCGGTCTGTCATCTGCTTGTTACCATGGAAATGTTATTGCTTTGCTTTAGCATGTTCCACAATATGATATTAAGCTTGTATATTCTGTATTTATTCAATTACAGGTGTTTTTATTCCCTGTAACTTAGCCTGGTGATGTCACTTGCGGTGTGTAGACTTGAGTCTAAGAGATAGATGAGTTTAAATCCATACTGTGGAGCTTTACAGGTAAAGCATCACCTTGGAGACAAGCAGGAAGCATACCCTTCTCTAGAAAAGATTCATGGTGTACCTTTTTATTATTGATCATTTAGTAGTTTTAAATGTGAAATTTGTACATTGTAAATTCATTCATGATCATACATGTTTAGCCTTATCAAAATCCATATTGTACTAAGCTGGATTTTACAATGTGAATATTACAAAGCTGTATTCCAGTGACCTGAAAATTGCATTCTATTTTTTACCCAATTGTAACGCATGGCACTTGCACAATTCAAAATATTTTGAATTTCCTGACTCATTCTTGTCTCTTAGACCCTTACCAAAATATTTGTATTTCTTTATCTGTGGAATTACTGAGTTTATGTTTTCATGTCAGTTAGTCGCTAAAAAGCACTATCTCTAACAGTAAAAAGTTACATGTTTTATTGTTATGAGGAAGGTCACAGTAGAAGCTGGTCTTTTGATAAAATGCCTCAGTTTGCTGTGCCTCGTGTGAAGTAAAGAGACGAGAAAGCCTGACGTAGAATGGATATTGGAGAGAGAATTTCCCACCAATATCACGCAGAGGCAAAGAGGCTGTCGTGCATTTATAAATAATGAAATCTTTTGTTAACAGAAGAGGATTACTCTCTGCTGTCAAACCTGCCCGAGGCAACCAGAGTCGACGAAGAATCAGATGAATTTCAAATGGTGGTGAAGAATTTCTATGAGACAATTCAACAATTCCACAGCAAGATTCGAATTGTCAAGGTCAGTTATCAGTTAAAAAATCACTATGAAAACTGCCTACAGTATAATAAATATAATAAAGATGTGTTTGCTTGGCAGGTGGACAAACTGATGAACAAACTGCTCTACAGCCAGTACCAGTTGAAAAAGACCAGTGTGAAGCAGTCTGCTGTATATCCTCAAGTGGAACGCACTCTTTACCATGGCACCAGCGAGAGCAGCGTTAAAGAGATTTGTGTCCATGGATTCAACAGAAGCTTCTGTGGAAAGAATGGTTTGTTTTCCAATAAATTACACCAGATTTGTTTACACCAAGGCAGGCTTAAAGGTGATTTGTAATAGGCTTTGTTGTTGCCTCAGGGAAATTTGTCCTTTTAAAACAAAATTGTGAGAAATTTATAACATTTTTAGTTTTTATTTAGCCAGTTAGTTTAGATAACTAAAACAAATGTATTTATGATTGTAAACAACATTGGTAAGAGATTAAATAAAATAGCAATTATGATCAGATCCTTTTCTAGTTCCTTTTGAGCAATTTGGACTTTTTAAATGACAGAATTTCAATTTTTTTTTACTACTTTTTGTATTTTTGATATGTAAAACCAACAAATCCACTCCTTACTATAAATTAATAGTTTTTTTAGTTGTAACTATACTTTTTTGATTAGATTATTAAACTTAGTTACTGAGTACATCACAAATTCCATATAACAGCTCTGCACCCCCTGCTCTGAGCTCAGAGAATATGCAGATAGCAGTTTAAACTGATCATAATGATATTTCATTTTTGTATGAAAGACTGATCTAAAATGTTATGTTAAATTTGCATAAAAAAAGCAGTACTTTGAGTAGTATTTTTCATGTGTACTTGGTTCTCTTACTTCAGTAAAATTTGGCATTGGTATTTGTACTTTTGATTCAGTACAATTCTTTCCATGTATCTGTACTTTTACTTGTCAGTCTTATTAAACTGGTCCAATTGTCTTCTCTCCACAGCTACTGTCTTTGGCCAAGGAGTGTACTTCGCTGTGAACTCATCTTTGTCCATATCAGATCAGTATTCTCCTCCAAATGTAGACGGACACAAGTTTATATTTGTGGCAAAAGTCTTGACTGGAGACTACACCAAAGGGGATCACTCTATGAAGACAGCCCCTTTAAAAGAGACAGGGGACATACCTTTGAGATACGACAGTGTAACTGACGACATCACTAGGCCGAGCATGTTTGTCATATTCAACGATACACAAGCCTTTCCTGAATATCTCATCACATGTCAGCGCATCTATGGAAATTTGTAGTAGAAAACAGCTCCCTTCAAATTCTAACTTGACTTTGGTTTTAACACAAACACTGATTTTATCTAATTCTATTGTTCTTGCATTATTATTTGAGTTGTATAATATTCTGTTCTTTTTTTTTTTTAAATCTACTTGATTAGGAAATGAATGTATTTACTTTTTATTTTAAAGTCAAGTCTTAAAGTGCGTATGACAGGTTGAACTACTAATTTTATGAAAACACAGTTAAGATTTTACAAAAATCTATAAAAAATTGCCAATTGTTTTTTAGGTTTAAAATTGTACTTCCTGGTTGGAAGTCATGACCTCACACTAGGGAATTCCATAACAGTTACTTATCAACCATGTAGTGCACTGGGCCAAAACTCCTCTAATGTGTAATTATTTAACAAATATAAATATAAGAATACCTTTATCTTGTTTAAATCATTGTTTATCTAGTATCAAAAAAAAGTTTCTTGAGTGAAAACTGTGCATAACTTGTGGATGAAATCTTCTGGAATTTTCAACATTTTTCAACTCTTCACAAATTATTTCTTGATCAGTGTAAAACTATGATTTATATTCACATTTATATTTATCCAACCAATTTGAGTAATTTGAATGTCATAAAAACCTGTCATATGGACTTTAATGAACAGAACAGCTGGATTTAAAGGTGTGTAGAAATTGTTGTCAAGGGATTATTTAGCCTTACCTGTAAATGTTTACCAAAGACCGAGCCCTTGGAAAAAGATTTTTATTGACTAATTTTTGTGTTGCTGTTTCCCTTGACATGTTTTGTGTATAGAATTTGATTATGTAGCTTTCAAATTAAGAACTGTATATGAAAAAGATTGGTAAAATCACTTTCCATACAACAACAAAAATAAACAAATTGTAAAGCAAATTGTTTGTAAAGCTTTTTTCAACAAAACACAAACAGTGAAACTAATGTGACAAAATATGGCTCTCTAAATAGAGGCTTCATCTTATTTTTATAACAAAATGGTAATGTATAATCACAATACTAATCAGAGAACCATCCTATATTATGCAAAATTTACTCTTGTGAGCTTTAAGCCATGTTATAATGTCGTAACCTCATCAAACATATTCAGAGTTCTTCAACAACATTCAAACATGTTTGAGCAACTCTTTTTATTATTTGTCTACTTTTCCAAAGCTCAGAATGCCCTGTTCAACCTTGTGATGTCATAGAGCAGTAGTTTTCAAATTAATGACAACCTTTTACCTTTAGTTTAGTAATGATACGCAATTCCTGAACTAAAATTATTCAAATGATTCAAGTGAAAGTGTAAGGTATTTTAAAACACAGTGGAGCACTCCATGTATACCAGATGGCATCACAAGGTGTGTTTTCATTTTCAGAGAAGAACTCTGAAATATAAAGTTTGTGTGCTAAATATGAGTGAATGAAACAAAACATCCTCCGTGTATGTTTTTGATGGGGAAACATTTACAATATAATAACATAGATCAGAGTAGCTCATGCAGGTCCTTTAATTTACGATAGGGGGCAGTAATCCACCATTGAGCGTATGCGCCAAAACAAACCAAGAAGAAGCCGAGGCACCGCAGCTAAAGCTAACAGCTAGCTCCAGCAGTTAGCAACATTTCAAACCAATGAAATATGCAGTCTAAAAACTCAACATAAGACTTGTCAATAAAGCTCCGAGGTTGTTTTCGTGTTTGACATAGGTATGTGGATAGGTTTCATTGAACATTTAAATAAAAATATAGACACGTCCTATGCAGATGCCGTGCCATGCCAAACGTGAGGAGGATAGCCAGACACTTCAGCTAAATAAATATAATAGTTTCAGCGTTGTGCTTTTATTTGTGCCATTTTCAGACACTGCAATGGCAAAAAGAAATTACTTTTACATATGGGAAATCCCCTGATGTGTGCTTTTAAAGGTTTCTTTGGTACTGTTGATATATCTGCTGCAGGGAAATACATGTATTGTTTTCAGATTGTAGCTACCACTATGTCTGATGTGATCTGTGCCTATTTCACACACATCTTTTGAATTAATCATATGTATTTGGTGAATGTGTTGATTGATTCCATATATTGTTTACATTTAATGTAAAACGTTGATTGCAAAAACATGCTTCCAGTATAATTATGTCCAATGTACTTGCCCCCCATGCCGCAGCGGCTATAACTTTATCCTTGCACCCGTCTGCCACTTTGAATTAGTGTTTTGCAGTTCATTGCCTACAACATCTTATAAAATCTATAGTTAATTCAATCCAATTTCTTTTACCAGGTTCTGAGGAGATTCCTACAACATGTATGCTGTGTACAGACAAGCCCACACCCCCACTGCAGTGGAGTTCTCTGTCTACTGCAACTTCATCTCCAGTACGGAAAAGAACCTGGTCGTTGGAGGAACATCCCAGCTCTTTGTCTACAGAATTATCCATGATGTCGAGGTAACTTTGCTTTCTACATAGCTTGCATGAATATATCGTAGATTTGTGTTTCATATTATGGTTTGTTCCTTCAGAGTTCATCAAGATCAGACAAACCTTCAGGTATGTGCACTAATGTGTTTGCTTATTTGCCAATTGATTCACAGTTTTGAATTGTATTTTTTTTTTCTTGATTACAGATAGCAAACCTCGCAAAGAGAAGCTGGAGCAAGTGGCCTCCTTCTCTCTTTTTGGTAATATAATGTCAATGGAAAGTGTGCAACTAGTTGGATCAACCAGAGATGCACTTTTGTTAAGCTTTAAAGATGCTAAGGTATTTATTTAACTAATAAAATGGATGCAGATTGTTGCTTTTTATTTCTTACTATACTGTGTTGATTGTCAGTTGTCAGTTGTGGAGTACGATCCTGGGACACATGACCTAAAAACATTATCTCTTCATTACTTCGAAGAACCAGAGCTTAGGGTAAGTCCATTTTGAAGAGAATTGGAAAAAAAAAACATGTCTCAAATAATACTAATGTATTTCTTTTCAGGATGGTTTTGTCCAAAATGTGCACATACCCATTGTCCGGGTAGACCCAGAGAACCGCTGTGCTGTATCTTTAATATATGGCACAAGACTTGTGGTGTTACCTTTCAGAAAAGACACGCTTGCTGATGAGCAGGAGAGCGGAGTTGGGGAAGGGTATGTTTGCAGTTACATTATATTAAGTGGTTTCAAATGACATCACAACTTTCTGTAGACCTATAACATTAAATGGAGATGAAGCAGGTACAATTTTGTCATAATGTATTGAGTGAAAATGATGAGGGCCTATTTTCATAAATATTGTCCTTTTGGATATCTTATATAAAAAATACATTGTAATAAATCTGCAAGTATGATCACATTTACTTCACTTATTGTTAAGTTGGATCTGTAATCTTGCTCTTTGCCAAAAGCCATGTTTTTCCACAGACTTTCACAGTAGTGCCAAAAACTATTGTGTGCATGTTTATTTGTTATTGTGCATTTTTTTTGTACCAAAATCAATTGCTGAATCTATCCAATCTTAATATTATGTTCTTAACTAAATGTGTCTGTTGTTTTCTTGTGTGCAGCCCCAAATCCAGTTTTCTTCCCAGTTACATCATTGACGTACGCGAGCTGGATGAAAAGCTGTTGAACATCATCGACATGAAATTTCTCCATGGATATTATGAACCCACATTACTCATTCTGTTTGAACCCAATCAAACATGGCCAGGGTCAGTTATTTTTGTCTCTAGTTAGAAAATATACAAATGAAATGCATGGTAATGTTTTAATAATTATTTTCTCAGGCGTGTGGCAGTGAGGCAGGACACATGCAGCATTGTTGCCATCTCCCTCAACATAATGCAGAAGGTCCATCCCGTCATCTGGTCTTTAAGTAATTTGCCTTTTGACTGCACACAGGTCATGGCTGTTCCTAAACCTATTGGTGAGATCTTATATGCATTTTAGATATTAATTTATAGTTGCTCAGCCAAAAGCATAGAACGGTTTAGACAGTATAACCAATATGCTTTATGTTCTAGGTGGTGTGGTGGTCTTTGCTGTCAATTCCTTGCTGTACTTAAATCAGAGTGTTCCTCCATATGGTGTTTCTCTGAACTCACAGACAAATGGCACCACCGCCTTCCCTCTGCGTAAGTGTGATCATCTTAAATACATGCTAGTTTTATTTTTGTAGCACTTTTTTTTTTTTTATAATAATGTAGTTTTGTGTGTCTATCAGGCATTCAAGAAGAGGTGAAAATAACATTGGACTGCTCCCAGGCTGACTTTATCGCTAATGACAAAATGGTGATCTCTTTAAAAGGAGGAGAAATGTAAGCATGCATATTTTCAGAATTCAGATTAGGGCTGGATAATATGACCAAAAAATCTCATACTTATCAACCACAATATTTAATCCAGTTGTATCTTGTCTTAACAATAAAAATGGTCAATATTAATTTTATGTATACATTTTGTTTAAATTGCCATTTAAAATAACAACAACAAACAATTCTAATTTATTCCTCCAAAGTCTGAACTCTACTCCAAATGTCATGCATTTATCGGCAAGAGGATTGGCTGTAGACTTGTTGATTCAAATGTCCCAATCTTGCAATTAGAGATGACTGAATTTCAATCTTGATAAACATTTGATAATTTTCACAGCCCTATTCCAGATATTCCTCATTAATTATATATTTCTTCTCTTGCAGCTACGTGTTAACCCTAATAACAGATGGCATGAGGAGTGTGCGGGCGTTTCATTTTGACAAAGCTGCTGCCAGTGTCTTGACAACATGTGTAAGCTCCTCTATCAAAAAGCATGTTACCTTTTTTTATCAGATGTAATTATTTGTTATTTTGCTTCATAAGATGGTGACTATGGAGCCTGGCTATCTCTTCCTGGGGTCTCGGCTTGGGAACTCACTGCTTTTAAAATACACAGAGAAACTGCAAGAAACTAGGTTAGAAGAAGCAAAAGAGGCACAAGATGAAGACAAGGAAAAAGATAAACAAGTACTGTATAAATATGGCCCTAACTACTAAGTACTAAATGCAAGATTAGTAATGTCGGTTTCCCTTATTTTTAGGAGGAACCGCCAAGTAAAAAGAAGCGTGTTGAGTCTTCTGCGAACTGGACTGGTAAGGTTGTGTTTTGTGATATTTTGAAATGCCTAAAAAAATAAGTATGTATATTTTGTGGTTTAATTAGATGAAGTAGACGAAATAGAAGTATATGGAAGTGAAGCTCAGTCAGGAACTCAATTGGCCACCTACTCCTTTGAGGTAACATCATGATAGTTTAATAGTTTTTTAATGCGGTCAAAGTGTATGAGAATATTTTTTATGTTATGTTTTGACAGGTGTGTGACAGTATACTAAACATTGGACCGTGTGGTAATGCTTCCATGGGAGAACCTGCCTTTTTGTCTGAAGAGGTACTTTAGCACTGTAGTTTGTTATTCCATATTTATACTTAACTCATAAGTGGTGCATGTCCTTCCTTTTATCAGTCTTTTCTATTATGAACAGTGAAAACCTTATGTTTCTCATCCTTAAAATGAATATACCATCTAGAAAGAGTTTACTGCTTACAATTTGGAACCGCTTATGACAGAGGGAACCTGGCCTAAAAGGTAGTGTCAGGCACATTAGCAAAATCTAAATTAAAAAAAGAATGGACTGAAAATATGTTTACAATTGCAGATTGCCTCATTGCTAGCAAACTTTTGAAGCCTTTAACTACAGATTCTACAGTGCTTTCTCTCCTAATGAGGTCCTTAAAGTGATAGCATCTAACTTTCTGGAGGTGGAAGGTCAACTGCTTGATTACTTGGAAATAGAACATTGAAACCATACTTTGTAACGTTCTCCATGGAGATAGATACGTTTTATGCCATATTATGGAAGATTTTAACCAACGGAATAATTTCAATTGAAACAAACAGAAAAAGGCAAACAAAAAGAGGAGTCTGTTTTGACATGAAAGCTCACTCAAGAGTAAGGAGGCATATTTTTCTAGTTTTTCGGTGCAATAAAAACATCTATAAAGAAAAAGGAATGCTTTCATTTAGTCTATTGTTGGGTAAAAAGTTACATACTATGGCTTTAAGTTGAACAATACAATTAGATGTAAAAGCTTTTGTCTACTTTTTCCCAAAGTTTCAAAGCAACCCCGAGCCTGATCTGGAAGTTGTCGTCTGCTCTGGATATGGTAAAAATGGTGCATTGTCCGTTCTCCAGGTATGCTTTTTCTATTACTCCTATGCAAACCCGAATGCACTGTCCTAAAACCTGTGGTCGTGAGGGCCGTCTGCCACGAGGTGAAGTGACAGTTGCTACAGAGAACAGTCTGGGTCTACCAGGGCTGCCTCAGAGGCCCACGGAGTAGCCTGTAAACAACTCAGACACAGGAGTGGGGAATGCACTGTATCTGTATATTCTAGTTGCACAATAATGACTGTATGGACTCATTATTTAATATATGTTAGTTGTTAGTTTCTTTACTTTTTGTTAATCTGTATTACCAAAATATTGAATTGTTGAATACTTCACTTTTGTGACTCATTATAGATAAATGCAGTATTTAATTCTTTATTTATTGTAGTTTGTGTTTTTTAACTATATTATACATTTAGAATAATTTTTGGGGGATGTCAATGACAAATTTCTTTTATTATTGTTTTTTGTCCATACTTTGCGCCTACAATATATCTTATTTCAAAATGTGTTATTGTGACAGGCCTATGTACTGCTGTAACTATCTCTTATATGCACTTTACTTTTACTTTCTCAGAGAAGTATACGTCCACAAGTAGTCACCACTTTTGAGCTGCCAGGCTGCCATGACATGTGGACCGTCATTGCAAGTGAAGAGAAAAAAGTATGCAATATAAACAAGGGAAGCTTATATATATCTTATTTTTGTTTGGGATTTCTAAGCCTTTTCTTGGGTTTGTTTACAGACTACAAAGCCTGATGATTCAGAGGAAAGTATAGAGGCTGAGACTGGCGAGGAGACAGAGGAGGGAGAAAAGAAGGAGAAAGAAGAGAAGGACAAAGAGGAGAAGAAAGAGAGCGAGGAGAAGTCTGAGCCCCCCCTAGAGGACGATTTAAAGAAGCACGGCTTTCTCATCCTCAGCCGAGAGGATTCCACTATGGTATACTATAGACGCATTTGTCTTCAGTATTGGATTTGAATTTGAATCAGTGCTTCATCCAAAACGTCTTGCAGCAATCTTTGTACAATATATCTTAGTATTCAGTACAACCATGCAATATATTCCAACTTGTCACTGCTGATGTTCAGTTAAGCCTGAATGTATTTGCCTGGCTTTGCACAAAACCTATAAAACACGACCAAAGTGCGTAAGAAATGGAAACAGGAATGACATATTGCAGTGTCAAAGTTTTTTTTTTCTTGACTGTGGAGCTCTGTAAAAAATGCGTATTCTGAAATGCATTCTATTCTTTATGCAAAGGATGTGCCATTTGTATTCCTCCTGACTTTGAACATAGTGTTGAAAGTTATTGAAATTGTTCATCTAGATTCTACAAACTGGCCAGGAGATTATGGAGTTGGACACCAGCGGTTTTGCCACTCAGGGACCTACTGTTTTTGCTGGGAACATTGGTGAAAATAAATACATCATTCAAGTTTCACCCATGGGCATCAGGCTGCTGGAAGGAGGTAAACTTAATTTTTCAAATACAGTATTTATTTAAACTTTTGTTTAAGATGAAAATCGAATCTTTGTCTATTTGTTTTCAGTGTCCCAGCTACACTTTGTCCCTGTGGACTTGGGCTCTCCCATAGTGCACTGCTCTGTGGCGGATCCCTATGTGGTGATTATGACTGCAGAAGGAGTGGTCACCATGTTTGTGCTCAGGACAGACTCGTACATGGGCAAAACTCACCGCTTGTCTCTACAGAAGCCCCCCATCCAAACTGTAAGAAAATACATTGTACAAAGCACACAGTCTGAAATCATTATTGGTAACGTCCACAACTTTGTAATTTCTGAATAGTTTAAGTGCTGTCACAATACTAAAATTTCAAACTTGATTTAAATAAGTAATACAAATTCCGATACCATGATCATAATAAAAAACACCCTGTCTTTAGGTAATAGAATGTCACTGTCAACATTTAATCATAAATGTTTCATCATTCTTTTATATTACCATGTGGTGTTATATCTATGTAATTCCTCAATCCTCCAGGGGCGAATACTAGTCTATATGGTCTTATACTTGTTCTGATACAGCTGAAGATCATTCTAAAGCTATCCAGGAAAGTCTGAAAACAAAATATATTGTAATCTATTCTAATCTAATTAATTACAGCAACCTCGTGTGATAGCTCTTTGTGCATATCGAGATGTGAGTGGCATGTTTACCACTGAGACTAAAGTGAGCTGCTCTGTCAAAGAGGACATCGTTATGATCAGGGGCCAATCTGAAACTGAAACCTTCATCCACGACATGAGGTACAAATGCCTACCAAACGTACACAAAAATGTTTAAAAAAGTATATATTTTTAAATAGCTTTGCACCTATTACCATGGTAAATGTGACTTGCAGTAACACAGTGGATGATGAGGAGGAAATGCTGTATGGAGACACAAGTACGACCACCACACCTGTGAAAGAGGACTCTGGCCGAGCCTCAGGGGGTCCTGGGGCTTCTGGCTCTGAGGAGAGCTCAACCAAAGTGGAACCCACCCACTGGTGCATGATCATCAGAGAAAATGGAGTTATGGAGGTAGGAAGTTACACATGGATGCACATATGCAGAGAATGAAAGTAAGCTTGTAGTGTTTTATTGTAAGAAGGAACATTGAAAGATGATTGATCCTTTAACAAAAGATAAAACACATTATCTATTAGAGCTGTCTTGGTTGACTTAAGACATGTCCCGTCTAAAGAGGGGGCTCTCAGAACGATTGCGTATCTCATCTGACACAAACTGTACTCGCAAAACTACAACTGCACTGGTGTTCATGAAAAAAAAAACATAAAAATCCTTGTATTTGTATTTGTACAATGTATTTATTTAAAGCATAGTTACTAACTGTAAATGTTTAAGACAACTCACTCACAACTCAAGTAACTTCTTATTTCTGCTATATTAAAGGACTATAGCTTTAATATAATAACCTAATATCCTGTGATGATCAATCAGTTCATGGCAATCCTCCTTTTTTCCACATGATCTAAAAAGTTATTTTGTACTTTTTAGATAATTTATTTATTATTGATGTATTTTATTTACACAAATGTAACCTCACAAATTGTTGGTTAAAAAATTTCATAGTTGTGGTGGGAAAACTATTTTTAGACATGACTCCCAATTATAAAATTGATTAACCCTGACATACAGAAATAAAAAGCTGTTTTTTGTGTAGATGTATCAGCTTCCAGATTGGCGTTTGGTGTTTCTGGTGAAAAACTTCCCCGTGGGACAAAGAGTTCTGGTCGACAGTTCCTCTGGACAATCTGCCGCTCAGGGAGAGGCCAAGAAAGAGGAAGTGACCCGCCAAGGAGACATCCCATTAGTTAAAGAAGTCTCTCTAGTTTCTCTTGGATACAGCCGCACACGGCCATACCTGCTGGTTAGATTTGGTCAATCGAAAGATATACTAGCTGATGCCTTTGATCTAATTTGATCACTTTTGCTTTTATCAAGGTTCATGTTGAGCAGGAGCTTCTGATCTATGAAGCCTTCCCATACGACCAGCAGCAGCCACAGAACAACCTCAAAGTGCGCTTCAAAAAGGTGAGATTTCAACCTCATGCAGCTCAGATTACCCGGGTTCGATCATCTTGAATAAGACGATTTATCCCTCCACACAGGTGCCCCATAACATCAATTTCAGAGAGAAGAAATCAAAGCTAAGAAGAGACAAAAAGGCAGAGCTGGGTGTACTAGAGGACGGCTCCGCTCCCAAAAGTCGAATCAGTCGTTTCAGATATTTTGAGGACATCTCAGGATACTCAGGAGTAAGTATGACTTTTTTTTTTTTTTGGTAATCATAGGGCTCTAAACCAGTGCTACGTAAAATACATTGTTTAAAAAGTCCTGACTTCTGTAATATGGAAGTTCCCTTTTTCTTTTGTAGGTCTTCATCTGTGGTCCTTCTCCTCACTGGATGCTGGTGACCTCGCGTGGAGCCTTGAGGTTACATCCCATGACTATAGATGGCGCTATAGAGTCCTTCTCTCCATTTCACAACATAAACTGCCCCAAAGGGTTTCTGTATTTCAACAAACAGGTATCTCTTTCAGCTCAATAAGCAATGACCACTATATAATTTTTATGTTATATGTTGTAGTACTGACTTTAATGGTAAAGAAAATACATACAGTACATTGTAGTATTTTGTACAGTTGATAACACCACTGGAATATTTATAATCTTGTGATAATTTGGTAGCACTATACTTCACAGCACAGTAAAAGCATGGTAATAGGAATGAAACAAGCAAGCATTTAGTAAATAGTAAGTATAGTAATTACATGCTAATTGCAACTATCAAACTGGAAAATACAATCAGGGACACTGTGGTTAGCACCTCAAGCCTCACAGCAAGAGCGTGAGGCATTTCTGTGTTGAGTAGGATAAATGAAAAGGGAACAAAGATAACAAATATGTTTCCCTGTTACAATATTTATATCCTATTCTCATACTATGTCTTGTGGCTTGTGTGACCTTTTTGTTCTTGTTTTTCAGGGAGAGCTGAGGATCAGTGTTTTGCCCACATATTTGTCTTACGATGCCCCATGGCCAGTGAGGAAAATCCCCCTGAGATGCACCGTCCACTATGTGTCCTACCACGTCGAATCTAAGGCAAGTTTCCAATACAACACTAACCCTCCTACACACACACAAGCCTTGACTTGCCTAATACCACGTTAAAAAGTCAATTGATGTAGTGCCTGGAAGCCCCTTGGCCCCTAAAGTTCTCGTTCTGTGTGAGTGAAAAGAATCAATAACGGTGACTTTGAAGGGATTATTCTTTGAAGTGGAGTTTTTACAGTGATTTTCTGCCCCGTGCTCAGGTCTATGCAGTGTGCACCAGTGTGAAGGAGCTGTGCACCCGCATCCCAAGAATGACCGGAGAGGAGAAGGAGTTCGAGACAATAAATAGAGGTCAGTCAGAAATATAGAAACTCAAGTATAGCAAAACTAACTTCAGAAATTGTAAAAAAAAAAAAAAAGTTTATTTACTCAGCTGAAAATTTAATTGGACTCATGTATTCATTTAGTTAACTTTTAAAAATTTGTATTAAATTGTATGTTTACTCCAACTTGAGTAATATATTTTACAGTGTAAATGTACTCTTGAGTCTACAAGTGGCAAGTGTTTTATATTAAAGCTAAATTATTTTAACATTTGTGTGTCTTATCGATCCTTCAGATATGATTTAAACCTTCTTGCTTTTGTGGTCTGTCTTTTGAAAATTACAGTTTTTATGCATTGAATATTTTGTCCTTCCAGATACATTAACTTCAAATGATAGATCAGATGTTACTTCCACACAATTATTCTTAAATTATTTTATTCTAATTTCTTGTACCACTGCATTGTACTTCTACTTATGTAATATTATTTTGAATTCAATTTTGGACCACTCTGCTACCTCTGCTCTGCTCTAATGGTCTTTTTGCTTCAGATGAGCGTTACATCAACCCTCTGCAGGAGAAGTTTTCCATCCAGCTCATCTCCCCGGTCAGCTGGGAGACCATTCCCAACACGAGGTACTGGCTCCAAAACAGTTGTTAGTCTGACTCATTCTAACCTTTAATTATAATTTCATCATAAGCAGTCTACAACCTGAAATGATAAAGCACTGAGATTTATATAATAGATGTCGTTTTGTTGCTGTAGTAATGAAACGTGCAACAAAAATGGCTGTGTCAAACTTGTTAACAAAATCTGGTGAAGGGATCATATTGAGCAATGAATTTCAATATTATTTAAAATCAAAGTCATATTTTTTCCTTCTAAGTCCTAACACTTAACTGAAACAAGATTAGCTGCTGACCTCTCGATTGAAACCCCCTGAGTATATAATCGAAGCTTAGAGATGTCTGAATCCCGGTATCAATTCTGATTTCAACACAGCCCTACCTAGACACGTAGACCCATTTTGTTTCAAATACAATATAGTTTATTTGTTACATGTTTTTAAAAACATTTCGTGGTGCATCATTTTGCAAGCTCCAGTGTTTAGAGCACTTCATCTCCCACAGTTGGCTTGTAGCAGTCTTGCTTCCTCATTTACTCCTAATGGGTAACTGTCCTCCAGAGTAGTTTAAAGGCAGCACTGGTTTAATTGAAATGTTCTGGGCAATTAGCCGAGTCTCAAACGGCTGCTTTAGGTCATTTTTACCCTGGATCAGCCATTCATCTCAAACGCTATCTAATTTATTCTCCTATTGCTGCATTGCTAAGTTCACCTTAATTAACCTTATAGTGCACATCTCACTGTTGTTATTTCGCTGTAAGGATCGACCTGGAGGAGTGGGAGCATGTGACGTGCATGAAGACAGTGGCATTGAGGAGTCAGGAGACAGTCTCGGGGCTCAAGGGTTACGTTGCAGCCGGGACCTGTCTGATGCAGGGAGAAGAGGTCACCTGTAGGGGGCGGGTGAGTGCAAGAACAACACTAGACTACAAATAGACTTGGAGCAAAAAGGTTCACCAAATCTATACTTAACTTGATCTTTCCAATATCTTTCAATGTTGGGTTTATTTAATTTCACAATCTCCATACTGAAGATTTAAACTGTATTTAGTCTTTAATGTTGATATAAATTAGTCAAAAGATAAGTCATAAGATATCATCAAGGTTTTTAGGGCATTACATTTCCGATGGTGTGAGAATCAAGCCCTTGAAAGTCATGTATTTTATAGCCTGGTAATATTAAATTTTTTTGTAACAGGTCAAATTGTATAGTGTAAGGAAGCAATCTTTGTAGTCTAACGGTCTAAATTCCATTGCATGGAAATTAAGTGAATAGTTTTGTGGGATCATAATTTTACATTAAAAAATCTCTGTTTACTAGATTAGAATACCCAGAAAGTACTAATTTTCAAAACGTCCATATATATTTTACAAGAAAAACTACAACCATTAAGTGTGGATTCAAGTATGGATAACCTCAGTGTAAAATGTAGATTACCACTACATGAGACACACATGAATCAATATGTAAAAAACAAGAGATGTCTGTATATATTTTATGCTTGTATTATGCTTTTCAAAATCTGTGACATTGTTTTTACAGATTTTGATCCTGGACGTGATCGAGGTGGTCCCAGAGCCGGGTCAGCCCCTCACCAAAAACAAATTCAAAATCCTGTACGAGAAGGAGCAAAAGGGACCAGTGACCGCCCTGTGTCATTGTAACGGATACCTGGTCTCCGCCATCGGACAGAAGGTCTACAACCCAGATTCTTATCTTCCTCTTTATAAAGGAAAGGTAATGAAGAAAGGAGAAAATAACAATATTATTCTTTTATTCTCACAGATCTTCTTGTGGGTGCTGAAGGACAATGACCTGACAGGCATGGCCTTCATTGACACACAACTCTACATTCATCAAATGCACAGTATCAAGAACTTCATCTTAGCCGCAGATCTGATGAAGAGCATCTCTCTGCTGAGATACCAAGAGGAGAGCAAGACACTGTCGCTTGTCAGCAGGGTGAGCCGGATACACTTTCTAAGATCTAGGATGTGTCAAAAATGTATGTTAAAGGCAGATAGTTAAATAGTCTGGGATTACAATTCTACAATGTGAAGTGACCTTAAAGGAGGGAGAAGATCATTTTAAAATGCATAGGCAAAACCAAATAAATTGAGAGAGAGATACTTTATTGATCAAGGAAGAAATTCAAAGTTGGTTGCAGCTAACTGTTCCAGTTTTGCAGCAACATTTACACTGCAGTTGCCTTTATCTCGGTCAAAGGTCTCAGTGCAGTTTAATAGGAGGACAGGTCAGGTAGGGTCGGCAGATCTGTGTCAGGGCAGATGAAGAGAGGAAGAGCCAAAAGTGTCTTCCTCTGCCACATGAACACAACAGGAAATGGCTTGTTTGCTTTGGATATGGGAAAAACAATCAGGTCATTTTTCACAATCCAACAGTCCAGAGAACAGCAAACTTAATTGGTTGAAAATGTTAAAAACAGAGCTCAAAAAATGAAAAGTTTCAAAAACTGCTCAGTGTGTAAGCCAGATAGCCAACAAAGTACACTATGAAACTTTATTGGCACCTTTCACTATGTGAAAGGTCAACCAACTTGACCAACCAATTTGACTATATGAAGATAAGTATGAATATCATATTGTGGAACATTCAGGTGGTGAACCCTCTATCAGAAATGTTACTCAGTGCACCTTTAGCTATTGGGGACCTTAATACATTTGTAACTGAACTAAGTCAAGATGTATATTTGTAGAACATTTTTGTATTACCTATGGATTATACTATTAAAATCTTGCTGGAATGTGCTAGCTCTGGCACCATTAAACAGTGCTACTATTTGTTCAGTGCTGACTTCAGCAACGACAAAGTGTTTATCAGAAGAGATCAGGGTTGTGTTATGTGGGTATTTTATTTCTGTCAAATGAATCTTGCAACAAGCAGCAGTGCCAGCCACTACTCTGAACATATTGTTTGTTTTGTAACAGGATGCCAAACCACTTGAAGTTTATGGTGTTGAATTTATGGTGGACAACAGCCAGCTTGGATTTTTAGGTAAGGATTTTACTTGGACCTCTCTTGGGAATGATACATTTCCATGTCTTTTCTACATCTGTATTGAAGTCTGTTTCTTTTAGTTTCAGATCGGGACAAGAACCTCTTCGTTTACATGTATTTACCTGAAGGTTAGCTGAACCCTACCTGCCACTGCATCCATCCTTTACAATATTTGATTTCTTATTTTTATCTCTGACTTGTGGATACAGCTAAGGAGAGCTTCGGAGGGATGCGGCTCATAAGGCGAGCGGACTTCAATGTTGGAGCCCACATTAATGCATTTTGGAGGATGCCCTGTAAAGGAGCTATGGATGCTGCCAGCAGGAAGGCCCTCACCTGGGACAACAAGCATATCACATGGTTTGGTGAGTGGAAACTGGAGGTAATTTCTCAAACCTCCATCATGTTTTATCATCTATGTGTTTATAAAGCTCATCTTCATCTCTGCAATTATGGATTAATTAAGGTTGGATACATCCTTTCTGGAGACCCACACTGATAACTAATCAATCTGTCATTTTATTTATTTTTAATCATATAGATTTGCTGACATGTGGAGAAGTCTTGAGACAAATCCCCATAACAGCTGAATTAAAAAAATGCTACTTATACCAAATAGCGAGGGGGAAAATACACACTTGGAGTGCAGTACGCTTTCAGATATCCTCTGCCACCGTGCAGCCCTCTTATTAGTGAAGGGTAGTGTGCCAAAAAAAAAGAATCACCATTTGTTTTCTTATTCAAACTTGATTTTTGATTCAATTACTTTTTTCTCTCATTAATTAATTTATTCTAGTCTGAAATCTTATATAAAAAACACACACTTATATTGACAGAAGACGGGACGTAGATTAAAAAGTCCCATACTTTTAATTGATGATATAAAACATTAAAATTTTGTTTTGATCCAAATTTGATTAATATCACAACCCAAAGTTTTTATTTAATTTAAGCATATCACCATGTACACAACCATACTGCACCTTTAATCATTTATCATAAAACAACGGGATTTTGTTTACACCAAGAAACAGAAAAATGGTAATGGGTCTTGATTTCTTTATTATTGCTGTTTGGTCCCACAGCCACACTAGATGGAGGCGTGGGTTTGCTGCTGCCCATGCAGGAGAAGACGTACCGTAGATTACTCATGTTGCAGAATGCTCTCAACACCATGCTGCCCCACCACGCCGGCCTCAACCCCAAAGCCTTCAGGTCAGAGCTCAGGCCGTACACTTGTTCAGCTGAAAGGTCAAGTTAAACTCATAGAAGTCATTCATAATCTTTTTGTGGTTTAGAATGATGCACTTTGACCGACGAGGGCTACAAAACTCTGCACGCAACATTCTGGATGGAGAACTGCTGGCCAAGTACCTGTACCTCAGTACCATGGAGCGAAGTGAGCTGGCCAAGAAGATCGGTACCACTCAGGACCTAGTGAGTAAACTGCTTATGATAAAAGATCGATGCACCTTTTTATATAGTCTGAGAGATAGCTGCCAAATTATTTATACATTTATTGACTTTTTTTTTTTTTGTCTGGACTGTACCATTGAGCTTAAAAAGCCTGTATTAGGGTATTTTCTGGTCTATGCTATGTTGTTTCCCCATCAAATTCATACCCTGAGATGTGTTTTGTTTCATTCACACATGTTGTATAACACAAACCCTGCATGGTTATTTTTGTATGTTGAAAACAACATTCATAATATTATTTATTTTTTGATAATCTGCCCACGTCCACATACAAACATTCATACATGATCAAAGCTCAATTGCCACAAACACATCATGAAAGGCACCACTCAAAGCACTGGCAGCTCTACAAGGTGCAGGTTTAAATTTGTTGGTGCTGCAGGAATACACCAGTCCATAGTCAGTGCTGAGGACTGTACTAGATAGATACTTTGTCAGATTAGCTCTAAAATGTGCCTTGTTTTTTTTCTAGATTTTGGACGACCTTCTGGACATTGACAGAGTTACTGCTCATTTCTGAGCATCACATTCCTGTGGCTTCTTCCACTGGAGGCTCTTTTATATTACAGACTTTTGTTATGGCATTTTGTGAATCTTAGTTTCTTACATGTTTAGACTAAAAGAGGAACAACATGTTTCTGTATTTTGTATAAAACATCAGTAAAAGAAATGACTCCAAGCTGTGGTTGTGCTCATTCAATAACTCGACACAGGTGACTTCAAAGAGGTAGACTTTCATTAAACAGTATAAATAATTTTAAATACATGCCGTTACAAAAGCAGTGCTTGGCAACTTTCACATTTTTTCTTGAAACTGTCTTATTTCCTTTAGTCATATGGCCTTTTCATATACATTATGCTAAATACTAAAATGAGTCAACACTGTTCATTTGCATCTTTCTTTAAGTTTTAATATACAGTCATTTTTACGTTAAAAGTAAATGAATACTTCTCATTACATTGAGTCTCCAGTCTTTTGGGGTTAGTCCTATAGTTCCTGGCTGGTCTTGGCTCACATGATGAGGCCTGCACAGGCCATGTCTTGGTAGCACTGTTGAATAAATGGGCTGGGTTGGAGCTGCACTTATAATAGGTCCCTGACTGATGAGCTCGTACTACCTCAAGTAATCATACATCTCTGCATCCAGGGATATGAGCCCAAAGTACGAGAACAGACTGATGAAGGTGCGCGTCAGACTCATCAGGGCCATCTCTGATCTGTTAACAAAACACTGCAGGTCATTCATTCATAAAATTTTGTCAATCGAAGTAGATAGACGGCTTACCTCAAAGCCACTTCAAATTTCAAACCCTCCCACGCAGTTCGGGCCCAGCTGAAGAGCCAGAACCTGGGCAGCAGACTAGTCTTCTGGGCCTGGATTTTTCCCCAGCCCCGTACCGCACTGCCAACACACAAAATGTTTAATGTCAGCCTGTGTACCATTCACAACAGATCAAGTATGTGGTTAGAATACTGATTACATGTAAACATTGTTAACATTAATATATTTAAGATTTTATTAAAGATTTTGCCCAGTTTTATTGAAGTTTAACATTTTTAAAATTTTGGAAAATTATAGTTTAAAAAAAAAAAAGATCTATTCCATAATTGACCAAGCAACCATAATATTACAGTTTTTCTCAATCGCTTTGGCACTTTTATCTATTGAAAATTGACATCTGAAAAACAGCTCACACAACATCCTAAACTTTTCTTATACAAAATTTAATCTCAGGAAAATTCAGTTTGTCATTCTAAAATGTTCAATCATTGCAAAGTATCAATAATCCAGCTGACCTCTTGGCCATGACACAATAGCGGTCGACAGGGGCGCCCAGTCTGATGTTGATGCTCCGCACAGTGTTGATGTTCCTGAAGACCAGCAGCATGGGCCGGGGCATGGACTTGAGGACCTCCATGATATTCTGGAAGCGCTTGAGCGCCATCTCCTGCATATAGGCCGTCTCCTCTCCGCTGAGGATGTTGGACAGGCCCATTTTGTGCATGTTGATAGGCCTCTGCAGCAGCATCTCACAGAACAGGAAATATTCTGCGAACAAAGAACCATTGTATGGGGTGCATATCGATGTCAGATGTAAGGATTTTGTATTTCTTCTATTCTGCGTCATAGCCGTGAATTGGTAGGGACACTGCGTATGGCATGAAACTTAACGATCATGCAGCTTTTTCTTATGTGTTTTATGACTTAAAATTATGGCTCTGTAGATCTAACAATTAACTTGGCTTGGCCGCGTCACCTGCTTTTTGGGTGGACAGCTTCTACCCAAAAATTCCATAGTGCACCTTAAAGAAAATTCTGTACAACCCAAAGACTACCAATTCATTCCAATTCTTAAGCTAGTAATAAAACAACATTTTCATATTCTACCATTAATTTTAGTGAAACCATTTTCCATTTTTAATACGATCAAAAATATTTTGTTGTAGTTGTAATAACCACTAAAGTAATCTTTTTTCTCTTGATAATTCCTCTCAGAATATGCCATAATGTGACATAAATTTCCCTGTATTAAACCTGTGTAAATACATAAACCAGAGATGTTATCTTAATCTTACCTTTGACCCCAAGAGCAGTTGAATACCTCTCCATCTCTGCCTCATTCCGCAGTACTATGGACCTCCATAGTTTACAAAGGGCCTCTCTATCACTGGGTCAGACAGTGATAGACAGTCAGACAGTCAGGGATTAACAGATAGCATGTTAGAAACATTTGCAAACCTTCTGTCATGTCCATTTCCATTTTTACCTTTGGCTTAGAAATTCATACAAGCCGTGGTCCAGCAGCACCAGCTCTGCCTTGTTATCAGGTCCTTTCCTAACCAGTACTGCACAATCAATAAATAAAATGTGAGGACAGCTAAAATATAAACAAACGTTAAATATTACACAAAACTGTAATGCCCACATGTTTGTGAGTGATCTTGGATTGTTAGGCTGTCTACATTCCCAAACTCCAAATACTCCATTTCACCTTGTGATGTGATTTGGTGGTAGTTTTATGGTTATCGGCTATTTTTAGCCTTTACTCTTCAATACTCTAGAATAACATTAAGTTAGTAGTTAGCAGAAAGTCTCTAATATCTGCTGGTGCACCGAGGAGTAAAGAGGTTTCAATGAGGCTAAAACTATAACTTCAAAGTTAGGCGACTCCAGGGGTGAAATGATCAGAATAATTCTAGTGAAGGTGAATGGATGGAGTTTAATGGTAAATGGTCACATTTTTCTATAGCGCTTTTCCACCTTCAAGGCACTCAAAGCACTTTACAACAAGGAACCACTCACCCATTCACACACACATTCACACACCAGTGTACGCAGACACTGTGGGCAAGGTGGGTTAAGTGTCTTGCCCAAGGACACAACGACAGCATTCATCTGTGGGAACTGGAATCACACCAGCCAACCTGTGGGTCAGTGGATCTGACTGCTCAACCTGTGATGTTTATGTTGAGAGCTGGATTCGAACCGCCAACCTTTAGATCAGTGCGCGAATGCTCTACCAACTGAGCTACTGCCGCCCACAGTGACGCATTTCCTCTTTTACCACTTAATGACATCACAAGGAGGAACAGAGGGTTTTCAGTTTAAGACAAGAACATGGCCTAAATATGCAGAATGTGTGTGTTAAACACATGAATGAAACAAAACAGAACTCCATCTACAGTATATTTGTGAGGAGGAAACAACAACATAGATCAAAAATAGTGCAATATAGGCTCTTCAAATCAAATAGAAGCACAGACCATTGCCAGGGTGAGGATCAGCATGGATGAAACCTGTGTAGAAAATCTGCTCCGCAAATGTCCGAATCAATTTATCTGCAGTCTAAAAACAAGAAATGTGGTTAGATTACAGTGACAAGTGCATGGGCTTTTTCTGATTCCTAAACTTGCATCTTTTAAACTTAGTCCTTGTCCTTTGATTGCTTCGACATTGTTGATTTTGCAGCCCTCACAGAACTCCGCAGTGAGAACCCTCTTGAGGATAAAGATATAAAAATATGAATTAGTCAAATTAGCCAAAAGTACCAACTAAAAAAGCACCGGAGCATTAACTAGAGATGTGTCACAGAACGCATCAAATGGTGGTGTCTGTTAGAGGCGCAAAATTATAAATTGAACTATAAACTGAATTACTTACTAATGTTGTTAATAATAATAATAATAATAATAATAATAATAATAATATTACTATTATTGTTGCTGACTAAGAAAATTTATTTTCTTCATGATAATAAAGTATGATCTATTTATCTATCTAATAATGTAATACACTACCAGAACAGATTAAAAATAAATACAAAATTTAAAAAAGAAAGAAATGCAAATATTGTAATATATAAATACTGTAAATGTAAAAATATTGTGAAATGTTATTACATACATACTATGGCATCTTAAAGTCTAATTTCTTTAAAGGTCCGAACCAATTACAATATACTGTGCCTTGGCTCAAACGCTATACACTTACCTTACTAGTCTGTTCCCAAAACACTTTTGGCACTACAACAAATTTAAAATGTTTTAGTTCCTCCGCACATCTTTCAGAGTTCCGGGCTTCATTCTCAAAGTCCAGCTCCTGGGCCAGGGTGCCCTTGAGGTCCTGTAAGATCAATACAAAGCTGAGTAATGTCCAGTGAGAAACATCAACAACACAGTCAGTGCAATGTTTGCAGAGCTGACCTTAAGCACCCATCTGAAGCCAAAGCTTGGGTGCATGAACTGAACTATATCCAGCAGGATTTCCAATGTTCGGATGTCGCCGTCAAAGCGGTCCCTGAGGTCAATGTACTGAACCTGTGGAAAAAACAAAAGTAGAAAATGCTATAATATTTTAACAAGGCCAAAAGGTTTAGTATTAGGGCTGTCGCAGTAATCGCAATATTGCAATACTGGGGTATGATCAATCACACCACCCGAGTGTTCAGGTGACCCCGATGCACAGGCCTGGCAGAAATGAATGTTTATGTGGCTCTGAGCAAATGGGTTCAAATACTCAGACCCAACCCAAACCCGCACACATTAAAACTAATGTGTGGTGCGCCACGGCATCTGGCTGTAGTATCTGCGAGGGCGCGCCTTGCAAACACGCAGTTTTGTTTGCAGAATGTGTTAAAGTCGCCCCTCGTTTTACTATTTACATTAGTGCAGGGGTTTTCAAATTGGGTGAATGTGAGCCTCCCCTTAAAATACGTAAAGACAGCGGAGCCCCCCCCTCCCCAAAATCCCATCCGCCTGCCCCACCCCACAAAGGCCTTTGAAGTAAATGCATCTTTTGTGTTCCTGCAATGATGAGCTTCAATAACGACTGATAATATATATTTTTTATATTGTATATTCATATTTTTATATGGGCATTCATAAACTATTTTTGCAACAGCAAATAACAACACTGAACATCAGAAGGACACCAGGACTAAACCAGGTCTAAACCAGGTCTAAACCAGGACTAAACCAGGACTAAACAAGGTCTAAAGGTTTAAACTGATCTAACTAGACTCTAGATCTCCCTCTTGGCACATGACTAGTATTCACATGCAAGAATTATTTGTCCACTAGCATAGCTTTTGAACTGCTTTTTCAGACAGAAAGGTGAAGCAGTGCACACCACCTTTAAACAGTCAATCAGCTCTCATCCCAAAGTGTCATACAGTGACACTTTGGTGGTATTTCATGATAATCACTATATTGACTTATCATTCAATATATGAAAGCTGGAACAGTAGATTTTGGGCTCAGTATTTATCGTCTATACATTTTCTTTGAATTAATGGTTTGATTTTTATTATTTTAATTGTAATACAATACAATACAATCCATTGTCACTTGAGATTCACGCTGGAAATATTTAGTTGGTAGTCGTCTTTAGCCGCTTAGTTTTGGTAACAACGGATCAAAACACTCACCTTGACAGCGACAGGCGTGCCATCAAACAGCTGTGCCTTGTGAACCTGGGCCAGACTGGCTGCAGCAATAGGCTCATAATCAAACGCCTTAAACAGCTGTAGTGGAGTTTTGTCAAAATCTTCCTGGAACAGCGCATCCACCTGTTACAGCAACAAAAACACATATTTTCAGTGTTTTATAAAATAATTTCACGCTGTCCTCTTCTGTATTGTTTGCGTTCTGCTCACCTCTTTGTACTTCCTGTTGAGAGCTCTGTCTTCCAGAACCTGCAGTGTGTGGATGTACTCGGGAGGGAGGAGGTGGTTGAACGAGCACAGACCTTGGCCCAGTTTAATGTAAATGCCTCCGTTCTTTACAGCACCCTCCACCATACGCTCTGCTGCCCTCTGGTGGCATTCTGACATCTTGGACAGGTAAAACGGGCTGTTCTGGCAGGTGAGGTGAGCAATACCAGGGTTAAAATTTATTATGGAATCCAGAACAGCTGATAGCTCATAAGTGATGATATTTTTGGACAAAAACATATGATTTGAAATTACTACTAATGTAAATATTGTCAATACTTTTTACTGCTGTACATTAATAACTATAATATAATAGTAACCCGTAATGTAGTGTAATAGGCTTAGCCAGGAGATTTAAGCTGAAATGCAAAAAAGTGCAAATATAGGCCTAATATATCTGAGAATTCTGTTCAGAATTCTTCTCAGAGTGTATATGATTGATGAGTCCAGAGAGAAGACTGAAATATGAACTAATAAACTAAAATGCGAATGAATAAAATGTGCAGACCTACTATTTTCTTTTTTTATACATTATATTGAGATTAATACTGTCTTTATTAACAGTTTGGCTCAAGAAAGGCAGTTGCATGTAAAATAAATATAAGATCCCAAATTATTCAGTCAATCACAATTTTAGAAATGCAGGATTCTTAGAACAAATCCCCAAATCTATTTTTATATTGTTGTATGTTGCTGAAAAGTAGACACATTTTTATATAATAAACCACAAAAATGACCCTTTTATGTCACCCTGACCTAGAGTAAAAAGTGTGCTGTGGTCCAAGACAAGAAAAATATCTGATGAAGGCTTTTTTTGCCGAAACGTTATTTTGTTAATAAAATAGTATTTGGACATCGGCCAACCGAGTGTGCTATGCATTTTTTCACCCTGACCCTGACCTAGAGTATCACTGCTGCACTTACCTCCTCCATGCCTCGTAGAACTACGTGAGTGGTCCACCAATAATCCACAGAAAGACATATTCCTACTGAGAGTGATCTAAGAAAATGCAAAATACAAACAGTTAGATTTACAGCTTTTATTCAGTGAAAATAAGAATTTTGCTAAGTAGAACAGTTATAATATACTCATAATATAGACTGCCAGGGAGAATACACTGTCAAGACTTTTTTTTTTTTTCTGATGATTTCTTTTTGATTATTGCACTATATTTTGTTGAGTGGTTTAGTGAATAGAGATTTCACACAGGATTTGAAAACTATGCAGTTCATTACTGCCGTATTCCTGACCAGTGGAATTTGGCCAATCTTCTTAAAATTCTTGTCCTCTAATTCTACTAACTTTTACAATGTTGACTTCACTTAACAATCCAAATACAAACCTGCAAAAGCGTCCAAAGCCTTCCACCACAATCCTCATCTTCCTCCTGTCTCTGGGTCCTGACATGGCGTACTGCACCCCCACAGCTGCTGGAACTCCAACCGACAGGCCCACCACAGTCTTCCATAATAATCCTCTGCTTTTACTTTGCCTGTAACAAAGAAATATTGTTACTTTTTCACAAAATAGGGGCCAGACAATATTAGACATTATACATCATATACATCCGTCCATCAGTTTTCTTCCACTTCATCCGGGGCCAGGTCACGGAGGCAGCAGTCTGAGCAGGGAGGCCCAGGTGGGCTTTGAAGTCCCTCAGTAGAACAGTGGAGTCCCTGGTTAATGCCCTGTCAAATACCCCTCACAGGGACTCCAAGAAGGCCAGGTACACTGCACAGCTGTTTGGCCTCTAGGCCGACACCACAGTGAGAGACCTGTCCCCGACCCGAAGGCGCAGGGACGCGACCCTCTCGTTCACTGTTGGGAACTCCAGTACAAGGAGGCTGAGCTGAGGGGCTATAAGCAAGCCCTGTGGGCAACGGCAGAAAAAATGGAAGTTCCAACCACTCTCGAAAAGTTGGGTACCATAACCCAAGCAGTACATAGAGGTGAACCCGACTATATCTATCAATCTATCTATCTCAATGGTACCTCTCAAGTTCCTGCACAAGCTCAGGCTCTGTGCCTGAGTTGTCAAGGCCTCTAACCTTGACTACCACCTGTTCCCCTTTGCACCTGACCCCTATGAAACCCTCTGCGGGTGGTGAGTCCACAGAAGGCATCATATATACATAACACATTATATGAATTCAAAAAAGGGATCTTTACAGACACTAAAAACTATGGGGCAACTTTCACAAGATCAACTAGACTTTTTATGCCAATCAGACAAATGCAGAATGATTTAAAAAAGGACAAAGGTGATGAAAAATGCAACAAACAGACTTAAAACCATGCTTTGCCTCCAATGGACTATAGGGAAACAGAGGACACTGAAGTGTGTGGTAACTATAATACTGCCTGTCTCCTTACTTTTAATGGTAACTAACACGTGATTATTCCAGTTTGTCTTTGGATACACTTTGTTTACTTTGGAATCTAAATTACTGAGTAACATATTAAACACTTAGATGCATTAAATGCATTACTATATTTCAGCAGTGTTTTATATATTAACTAAATTAATGAATGAATTAAGTCTTTCTTCATGCTTTATTATGACTAATTAAAGTAGAGCTATTATAAAGTGATACCCTAAAAAATGCTGGGTTTTCTACTCAACGGATGAGTTAGGGCTGTTGGGTCATTTTCTGGGGTTATTTTCACAGAGTTGGGTTTTTCTTACCCCATGTATTGGGCTATCAGGTTGGATCATTTCACATCTAACATAATGATAGACATTTTCCCACCTTTTTCCAGTCTGCCCAGCATTTTGGGTCAAATTGTCTCATACAACCCAGGGAACTGGGTAAAACACAGACTTACACCTTATCTACTGCCCTAATGAAACAACTGTTCAAGGTATTTAAACATTTTAAATAAATGAACATTGTGTTTTTATTCTGGCTCTGAATGTGTCATTCATGAATCCACTTAATTTGAGTTTAATTTTATATTTCTCAAGCTTTATTTGTGACAGAGGAAGGCAGATTTGAGCTGTTGTGACCTCTCTCTGTTCTTTTCTCTCACAGTGTAGCAGATTGCAAAGTTCAGCCCTGAGCTCTAAATTCAGTTCTAAAGCTTCTGTTCAGTCACAAATGTAAGAGTAAATGTTTAATAATATTCTCTAAAGTCTGTGCAGCCAGATATATCTGACCTGTAAACACGACCATTTCTCTCTCTGTTTTCACAGTGGAATCTCCTTCAGACTGAAGCTCCAGAATCTGAGATAAACCAACTTAGCGCTCGAACTTCTCTCACTACAAGATGTAAAAGTACAAACTACAAAATGGACTATTTAAATCAACATTTTACTGCTGAATTCATAATGTGTTACTACTAATGGTCTAACATGTTTTGAGTATGATTACTTTAAAAATATGCTTAAAAAAACAAAAAAAAAACTTTCTTAAATAGCACTGTGTAGGTCACTATGAACATTAAGCTATTTATTGGGTAGCATGAACCTAGCAGAGTAGTAAAATACAACCCAGAATTGAGTAGAAAAACAACCCAAAAAGTTGGGTTAAAATGATAAACCAAACTGTTGGGTCAAAGTAACCTGGAGCCATGTTGGTCCAATAGTTATTTTTAACCCAGCATTTTTTGTCTGAGTAGACAGTTTCATTACTATCAGTAAGAACATTTAGTTCCATAAAGGCTAAAAACTGACTTTGTGATTACATATCATCATAACTGTGTGTTCTGGAGAGAATGAGACATGGTTACCTTAGTGAACTGATGGACCGGACTGTCTGATGGGACACGCCAGATTTTCTGTGGGGCAACTTCATGTGATGTAGACACTGACGTAACTAAAAGAGCCAGAGACAAAAAGAATTAAAGGTGGGGTGGCTCTGGCTGAAAAGAATCAGAAAAATTTTGTTAAATCAAGTGGAGAGAAATTATATTTAATATTTATTATTTCAATATTTATAGAGGTGATATCATTATAACAATTATTTTTGCCATGATAATCGAGAAAAATTGTATAACAAAACAAAAAAAATAAAAATTGTATGACATGGCTATCACAGACAAAAGCACCAAAAAAGTTATTTTGTGCCCCTTAAGGCTTTGAAAATCTGGACATTATGCAAGAAGGAGGCTGTGTGTGTGTGGATCAAGGCCAAAGGAGCAGCCCAGTGATGTTTTTGTTTGCTGTCTGCTCCAAAGGGACAGTGTGTCTCCCCTAATAATAAATGAGGTTCAGATAGACGTGTCAGGGACCAGCAAGCTGTTAAAACGCCCTGGGACCAACCACTAACCATTAAAACACAAGTGCACCTTGATCATGACTTTTAAATTGTAAAATAAAAAGTAGTCATACAAAATATTGTATTCATTGTAGTAGGCCTACATAGAAGGTGCACTAAGCAACTGCTGTGAAGGAGGTCTGCCACCTGCTTTTCTCTAAGATGTTATTATTTTGCCTGGACTGTTCCACATTCTCCATGTTGCATTTATTCATTTGCCGGTGCTAAATCTATCTTAAAAAACATGCATTCTTTGTGTGGCCAGGGACACCTCACCTACTCCTACAGTCTAACTTAGCGTGGTGCTGTTTGTTTCTCTGGAGATTGCTACGATTAATGTCATACCGCGAAACATTCAAGACAAATCAATAACATCTTCATGAAGTCACCAGGTAGTGGATCCTCCGCCAGAAAAGTTACACAGTGCAGCTTTAAGTAGTGTCTTTCAGTGAGACATCATTTACTAGGTTACAGAATACACAACAAAGAAGAAGAAGAAAATAAAGAAACACTGCCTTTATATTTTAGCACGCACAAAATTAGAACTAGAGACAAGCCTCAATTCTTCTGTTGCTATCAAACTTGTGATAAACCACGAGTTCAGATGATGACATTCTCCTTGTTCGCTTTAGCTAACGCCAGATTACGTACAATAAATATTAGATCATTCTTTACCAGTATTAAGGGGTCCCGTGACATGATTTTCCAGTTTAATGTACTGTCCTCACAATGTGGATGACAATGTCCTTTCTGTTGACATATAAGCGAGATGTGTGCTTCACATCGCTGCTACGGCTGAAACTTCCTATGTTCAGAACCAAAGATTACAGAGAGAGAGAGAGTATAGCCCGTTCACTTCCGGTTACGGCGAAAGTATGTATGTATGTATGTATGTATGTATGTATGTATGTATGTATAATAATAATAATATAATAATAATATGTAAATATTATAATATTATTATTATTATTATTATTATTATTATTATTATTATTATTATTATTATTATTATTATCACTGATGTAAGTAAAACTAATTTCTTGATTGTTTCTAAAGGTCCATTAATAATAATTATTAATTAATTAGGCTAATAAAAGACCTAAGCTAATTAAAAGTAGTATATATTAAGTATGCCAGTTACCGCAATAAATGAAAAAAATAAAACAAAAATAATTATTTTTTATTACTTAACAAACAATTTCCCCCACATTACAAACATTAAAAACAGATAAAAGTCTTTCAATATTCATTTGCTGAACACAAACAAATCTGACTTTTTTAATCACTGCAATTAAAAAAAAAAAAAAAAACTATAAAAAAAAAAAACCCAGAGGTCTGAATTCTGTTCCAAACCACATGCTTTTACTGACTGAGGATTTGCAGTAGATCAACTTGATAACTGACAATTAGGCATAGCATATGAATAACAACATAATAGTAACAGCTTCATAAAGGAGATGGTATCTTTTAGCTCTTATCCAAGCTGTTTGCACAGATATAACTCACTGACTGACTATTTCTGTTCCTACTTTCCATTAGTTCTTATCAGCAGCAGTAGGCCTACCAGTGAACCCCATTAGGATCTGTGTAAATTATGCTTTTACAGTCCTGAGAGAATGAATCGTGTAATCACGAATCATTACATCATAATGATGCAAGAACAACATGGGGGTTGTACCTTCTCTGCTGTAGTCTGTCATCCTTCCCAGTGCCACATGATGTTTATTTGGAATCCTGTTACAGTATATTACATCAGACAGAGATGTTTTCAGTTCCAGCAAATGTGTCCTCATTAAGCTTTTTATTAATGCACTTCTTCCATCTTTTCCATAAACTAGTTGAAAAACTGGTTGAATTGTGTCAAGTTACCAGTATTTACATTGACTTTTGGTTTAAAGTTCTTAAAATGCAAGCTATCCAGCCCCACCAAAATAAAACATTTTTAAAGTTATAAGCGTTTGACTTCATGAATTGATTTGAGTATCAGTTTATTTAATGTCTTTCAGGTGACAGGACAGAAATGGCCAGGCAAAAAAAGAATGCATGCTAGCCATGTGTTTTTTAAACCCCTCATTAAGTTAGGTTGCTAAGCCTGATTCATTTTTAATAAACTATTCGTTCATTATTAATCACGTATTTGTTCATGCTTAATTACGGCTAATTAGGTGTAAGCGAAATTTCACTGTGCAGCGTAACCATGAATCTATTAAAAAATGGAGCCTAACACAGATTTAACCTAATTGACTATTTCAATTAATCTGGACATTGTTTGCTTAATAATTGCAATGTTCTAAACCACTCAGTGCTACTCAGAAAGATTTTAACCCTAAGATTACTTGATAATGTTTTTGCCCCGTGTTTTTTTTTTTTTTTTACAGTCGTCGACACTGTATTCGTAACCGGAAGCTGTCTGTGTTGACGCAGTGTATCAGTTTCCTGTTTACGGGCGGGAAGAGCGAAACACGCTCGGAGATCTGCAGCCGAGGGCACCACATTTGTTTAAATCTGACTCAGAGCCATGCCGTGCAGCCTGTACTGACGCGCTGGACCTTAGCACATCCACTGGGACATACTTAGCGGGACGTTTGAAAAGTGCTGGGTGTTTTGGAGCTCCCGGAGCAGATGGACGAGCCTCCCGCAGAGACAGGCGGCGGTGGCGGAGGCGCTGCGGCGGAGGGCCCCGTGGTGCAGGTGGATCAGGTCTGTTTACCGAGCGGCGCTGTCCCTTTACGGCTCCTGGAGTGGAAAGTCAAACCCGGCTCTCTGATCAACGTGGACTCTGTGCTGGCTCTGGCTGTCCCCATTGCCCAAGAGAAGGACGCAGAGGGTGTCAGGCTCCCAGAGAAGAAGGTGAAGGCAGACCGTGCAGGAGTAGTGAAGGAGCTGTGCTGTCAAGTTGGACAAGTCCTTCCTCCCGGGTAAGTGCGCGCAGAAGCCGCGGGTGCAGGCGCGCTGTGCGGGGCTGTGTACATTCTGCACATGGCACTTGTGTTTATGTCCAAGCTCCGGCAGCAGCTTGCACTCACAAACCTCTGCACTGAGCTAACAGCTCCCAGATAGCGTTAGCTTGTGTGCTAGCATCAGAATTTACAGCTGTCAAGTCAATCAGAATAAACAAGCTCGCTTTTCTACTGCCTTCATAATAAAACCCACGTCCCATTTACAATAACTTAACAGTATCCGGCTTGTTGTATTGAAACACACCTACTGTACTGTACAGTACGTCTAAATGTTCTAAATACAGCATCTAACAAGTAAGTGGTGAAACGTGTCGTGTTGAGCGGCACGACGCTTTTACTGTGAAGCGCAGCTCGGTTTGTTTTCTGCGCTGCTCGTAGATCTGCGCTGGGCGACAGGCGCATTGACAGTTTTTTGGAGATTAACGAGTTGTACTGTGGTCAGTGGTTGAAGATCTGTAGGGAAGCCTCAAAAGAATTTGTCCTTAAGCTACTTCTGTTGATGTTTTTGGTGACTAAAACCTAAAACTAATCCCTGATGCATTCTTGCTTGTCTAAATCTGTCAAACTGACGCAGTAGTTAATTCCCAGTTTTGATACAAGAACGTGTCGACGTCTGTTGCCGTAGCGTTAAAATTAAAATGAGAAGATTTACTACCAGTGTTATTGTGGCCTATTTTAAATGAACTTTTGTGCACAGCAGCAGTACATAAACTGTATTTAACATGAACTGGTAAACTAAGTGAAGTGTAATCAAAATTATTGTTTGTGTATTTAGTATAGCATATAGACATAAGACATTAAGTAAAATGCGTCCTTAACGGATTGTACACTGTAAAACAGTAGAATTACTGTAGCAATAATCATATTTTTGTTTTGTTGTTGTTGTTTTCCCACAGTGGTGTTATTGTCAAAATAGAGGAATGCAGTCATCCCATAGTAATGAAAGGGTTGTGTGCCGAATGTGGCCAGGACTTGACACAGTAAGTTAACACAAATCTGTTTCTTGATGAAATATTACTCATTTGGAGCCACTTGGATATGGCTGCATGTTGCATTTATGCCAGTAGATGGCAGTACACTGTAAGAAACCAACTCTATATATTTATATATATTTTTTGCATTTAAAATGTTATATGCTTTTTGACACCATCAGCTTTATGTATAGAGCATCAACACAGTGATTCATGACTTGTTTTCTATTGAGCAATTGCAATATATAGTTTACTTCAGTTCAGTCCTCTTGGGGGGAACATATTAATCTAATTTTATCACTAAACCTAGTTATTGTTGTAGATTACTATATTTCTGTAGTCTGTACAACCCTACAATGCTGTCTGCTAGATGTATCTGTCTATAGCCATTAGCTAAGATAGTGCTGCTGAATGCTTGTGGTGAATATATCGTTGTGTGTGTCTTCCACAAATAAATACATGCACATTTCTATATTTAAATCTTTTTTAAAATTAAAAAGTGTTGTATATTAAAACATAATTTATTTTATAAATGTTTTTTGTGCTTATTGTTTTTGCCAGGCTACAGAGCGCAAATGGGAAACAGCAAGCTCCCATCTCCACAGCAACAGTCTCCATGGTGCACAGTGTTCCTGAGTTGATGGTCAGCTCTGAGGTGAGTCATGGGATGAAGGTATCTAAGAGCCTATACAAGAAGATATGGTGCCTATCCCCTGTACTTTTGAAATTACTATGTTGTGTATGCATGTTAATGTTGACCTTTGACCCCAGCAAGCAGAGCAGCTTGGGAGAGAAGACCAGCAAAGACTCCATCGAAACAAGAAGCTGGTTCTGATGGTGGATTTAGACCAAACGTTAATCCACACAACGGAACAGCACTGCCACAGAATGTCCAATAAGGTACTATTAGAAGACATTTTCACTCTGGATTGTAGTAAAAATTTTATTGTAAAGTATAGTAGTAAAAATTTTATTGTAAAGTATAGAGTTTATAACATTTTTTAGGGATGCAACAAAACAAAAAGGTGTAGCATGAACAGACACATAGACAATTGCAGAAATGTACAAATGCGCATGCAGCACTGTCCATGATGTTTTCAAGGATGCAAAAGGTGAATAATGTAACAATGCAATGTAATAATGGAACTGGTGAAGGGGCTGCCACCGGCTTATCTCCATGTAGATTTAATTGCTTAACTTGGAATGTTTCACAGTATGGCATTAGTCTTATCTATATTACATTTATTTAATTATTGCTAAAAAATACCTTTAAGAAAATGCATCACCTGCTTGTCTCCAGGGAGAGTGATAGAAGTGAATACAAATATACAAACATAACTGCAACACTGTTCTTTTCCTTAGGGCATTTTCCACTTCCAGCTCGGACGAGGGGAACCCATGCTCCACACCAGGTTACGTCCTCACTGTAAGGAGTTCTTGGAGAAAATTGCCAAACTGTATGAACTCCACGTCTTCACATTCGGGAGCCGACTTTATGCGCACACAATTGCAGGTACAAGCCTAGTTTTTAGCCCCAAGCATCAAGCAAATTTAAATTATTTATGAGAATTAATTTTTTTAATAAAGACAAATGGTTTGTGTTAGATATTTTTGATTCTCTCACCACTGTTCTGGATTCCTAATGCCTGTGCATACTCTACTGCAGAGTATTTAAAAATACACAATCTCTAAATTGGCAATCTAATGGGAAATGTGTAATAGAGTACCTCTTTTTGCACATCCCCTTTGTGTCCATAAGGGGGTGATGTTTGCCAGTAAGATGGTATCCTGTGACTGTAGTGCAGTTTGCTTGCTTTGCTTAGTTTTTTTTTTGTTTTTTTTGGGGGGGGGTTAGATTTGCTTTCCTCTGCTTCACCGTCTCAAGTTAAACTGACAATAGAGTGGAATAATGTAAATTTGCAAAGGCAGTATGGGCGATTGAAGCTTATTGATGTTTTTATTTTCTGAATTCCACACACACTCTATTCACTCTGTATATTAGCAGGGCAGCTCTAATCCTGCACAGCACTGCCTCCATAGAAAGTGATAAATGTTTAATGCATTCTGAATTGGATTTTACTACTTGGCCTTCATCTGGGAGGTCGGCTGGTTTCACGGCAGCCGTCCAACTATTGACATTTTATTCTGTAGTGGTTCAAGAAGCCTGTGCGAGGCATCCCCACAACCTGTACTCTAGGTCTCCGTTCAAAATGGGAAAGTTTGCTCTTAGAAGTTTAGGCTTTGATAGCACCATGTTGCGTTCATATGCTGTCGGTACTATTGATTTTAACTTGTGTTGAATGAGAGGTTTAGGAACGATATTTGTGAACAAAAATGTGAGGAGCAAAGCAAATAAGTCAATATTGTTGTTTTTGTGTCATTTTCTCAGCCTTATCAATAGACCGAGAGCAATACTGGCAATTATAACAATTTTTTAAACCATGTATTGAGGCCTGGCTTTTTCCTAAAGCACTGTATTTAATGTCTCACCGAGAGACAGAAAGCAAAAGCTTATAGATGTCAGACATTACTGCAACCATTATCTATTTGCCTGTGCCTTAAGCACAAACTTCAATTTACCAAGAGTAACCAAATGTCAAGGAACAATATCACATATGTAATTTCTTCCATTATGTAGATAGCAGTATTCAGTGGTTCATTCATTTAAACCACTTGCAGCGTGCGTACCCCTCTGAATGAAGACTGACACATGAACTGGTGATTTTTAGATTTAATGGAAATAAATCCTCCAATCTGCCATAAGAGCTAAAAAGAATACAAAATATAAGGTGTAAATACGCATACACAAAAATCAACCCAAGTGTGATTATTATTTATATTCATCTTGACAAAGTCAACCAACAACGATAACAGCTAGAGACACAAAGTTATTCAAAAGAAATATTTAAATCAATAACATACCTTTGTGCCTCTTCAGAGGGGAAGCTAAACAAAGACATAGAAAATACCAAAAAATATATGTGTATACATTTGCTCCGTATAATGTTTTTCTGTTCTCGTTGTCAAGGTAATTAAATGAAAATAAACCCTTCAAAATAAAAGCGATAAACATAAAGGCGCAAGTTAATGGTTAACAACAGAAAATAGTGCAATATAAAAATGAAATAATAATTAAAAGATGTCACAAGAGGTCTTAAGACAAATTATACTATAGGTTATTTACAGCACATTATCTGCATAGAAATTTCTATGACGTCATGTGGCATGATAATAGCATTATACTAAAAAAATTCAGAATAAAACACTACTGTTTTGTAAATTACTGTACAATATGTAAAAGTAATGTCATGTATTTCTTGCCCATATGTAACATTTCATGTTTGTAGGCTTCTTGGATCCTGAAAAAAAACTGTTCTCTCATCGGATCCTGTCCAGAGATGAGTGCATTGATCCTTTCTCGAAGACGGGAAATCTTAGGTGAGAATGGCTTTTTGTCTCTGTACAGTTCTGACGCAGTCAAAGATACACTCTGCTCCCACACTGAAAGACATCAGTGTTCCTTGTATCCAAATGCCACCTCATTATGTTTTCCTGGAAGGTTATTAAGGGACAATTGGCACAGTTGATCATATGAGCTGTTGGCAGCACAGAATCCCTCCAAATGATTCCTTTGCTTCTCCAACCGTTTGTACTGCGGACAATCTGTCTCTATCATCTCTGAGCACAGAAGGAGGTGTCTGTCTGTGCAGTGTGAATGGATACATCTGACATCTCTTTAAAAAAATAGTAGAATAATGCAGTATGTTTCATTTTCTCTGGGCAGAAATCTGTTCCCATGTGGAGACTCAATGGTGTGTATCATCGATGACCGTGAGGATGTGTGGAAGTTTGCACCTAACCTCATCACTGTGAAGAAATATACCTACTTCCAGGGCACAGGGGACATCAATGCCCCCCCTGGCTCTCGGGAGGCTCAGATGGCCAAGAAAGGTACATTCATAAACAATACACATACAGATGACAATATGAATAATTTTTAAACTTGCTAGAAGTTTGAGTAACTTTTACTAACTTGGTGCCAATCTTAAGGTATGAAAACCACTAAGTAAGTTTCTTTGTCTTGAGTTTTCTCCAACATTCCATGGCCTTTTCTTAGAATAATTTCTTATGCCAGTGCCAGGCCAAAGTGATTTGAACACAGTGTTTCTATCACCTCTCACTCACAAGCAGCTCATAAAGTCTAGGTTTCAACAAGGCCAATATCTAACACTGGCTTTATTCTGACTGGAATCTAAATCCTTAAAAGTTAAGCCAAAAACATTTAACACAATTTATTCCTCATATTGAAGTTTTGACTTTATTTCCTCTAATTAAAAATCCCTTTCAATACTAATTTACCATGAACATAAACTATACAGACTTTTAACATTGCCTTCCACAAAAATGTATATGACAGACACAAGCTGTTTATTAACCATTATGAATTTTTATTATTCATGTGTAACAATATTTTTTAGTTACATGAACAGTGCATGCACAGTATATAACATATACATAACATATAGATAACATATACAACTGTATCTGGGTCATATCTTTATGTTCATGTAATGGCAATAATGTTAAATGTTTTAAAGGTCTTATATTACATAAAATTGATATTTTTGAGCTAAGCCATGTTATAATGTTACCTTATCAAAAACATACCTGGAGTTGTATTTTGTTTCTTTTACGGTTTGAAAGTCTGCAGCAATTGAGGGAGGACACCACAGCAGCTCGTTTTAACCCCCGTACAGGAATTTGTTATAAAAATATGGATAGTGATGGTCCTGGCAGCGGGGTCGCGTGGAGGCATTGCAGTGTGGCAGGCCCGAAGGATGGGGACAAAGCAGGAGGAGGGGGGAAAGCATGTACTCGACCCTGGCTTTATAGTCCCCTGGTGATTGGTGGGCGGAGTCAGCAGGCAGGGCAGTGGAGGGAGGCAAAAACACCTGGAGGGAAAGGAGAGTGGCAGGAAGGGGCAGGGCAGAGAATGGCCTGGGCGTGGAGCGGCCAGAACAGGAGCGGTGCCTGTCACCTGCTCAAATGCCTGCTGACAAACAGGAGACCAAACATATTTGACATGTTTAGATCAGTTAATCGGGCCACAACAGATGAAAAGTTATGACAGTAGTAGCCCACAAGGCCAAGAAAATGCATTAGTTCCTTTTTTGTAGTTGCTCAACCGCTTGAACTTTTGCTGCCAGGGTCAGACTTGACCCTGGCCTATGAGGTCACAGTCATCCTTGCAAACTCAGACTTTGCAAGGTTGACTATGAGCTTTGCCCCTGCCAAAGAATGAAAAGCTCCCGAATGCACTCCCATGACTCTCCCACGTGTCAGAATACACTACAACGTCGTCTAGGTAGACTGCACAGCCCGGCATTTCCCCAACAACCCGATTCTTTTGAGGTTGAAAGGTCGCAGGTGCATTCCTAAGACCAAACGGCATTACTGTATAAGAATACAACCCAGTAAGAGTAACAATGGCGGCTATCTCACGCTCAAGGTGAAAGTGGCACCTGCCAGTACCCTATCAAACGAATCTCGGACGAGCCCCCACTGGTTATGGCCCTGGCTTGAAAGACTGCAACAAATGAGGGAGGACACAACAACGGTGGCATTTTAACCCCCGTATGGGCATTTATTTAAAAAATATAGATAGTGACGGTGTGGTGCCGTGCTCTATAGTCCCGCGCTTTATAGTCCCGCGGTGACAGCAGGCAGGGCAGCGGAGGGAGGCGAAGACACCTGGAGGGAAAGGAGAGTGGCAGGAAGGGGCAGGGCAGAGCACGGCCTGTTCCATAAGACTTTCATTCACACAGGTTTGAGTAATACTTTATTACTTGTCTACAAGTCCAAAGCTCACCTTGTTATGTCACGAAGATGCACTTTTTAAGTTAACAGCTACCTTTTACCTTAGAGATTGGCAATTCTAGGGTTGAAATTATCCAAATAATTCTAGTGAAGGTGTATCGAATTTAAAACACAATGGAGCACTTTCTGTGTTACCGTCACATCACAGTGTTTTCTCTTTAAGCGAGGAACTAAATATGTAGTGTTTGTTTGTTAAACATGTGTGAATAAAACAAAATGATATCCCCTAGTATGTTTCTGATGAGAAAACAGCATTAGATTAGAAAATAGTGTAATATGGGCCCTTTAAATGTATATAGCCACTGTGTATTGTATTTTGCTGTATACACCCTTAAAAGACTGAACATTAGCTGACAAGTAAATGCACAAATAGGAGGTGATCCTAAAGAGCACTGACCATCCCACCTTTGGCCTGCTACCGATGATGGACCTCCCATTGCTCCATCATTAAAGCTGGTTGTTAGGAGCCAGCAACTATGTCTCTGGCCCACCCACTCTAAATCATTGCCATCAATTAGCCAACACCCGCTGTTCCCTTTAACTACTACAGAATCTATCAGTGTTTCCAGGCACCACTCAAATTATTGTTATTTCAAGTGTTCACTTTACATTTAGGGCAATGATCAGAACAGGAACCAGCATTTAAGTCTCATTATACCAGGGCATTTTTTGTAATTTAGAGTAATTTTCTATTTTAGGGAATTGAAAGACTGGATAGTTTTCTATCTGCTTTTTGGACACTAACTGACCTTATTAAAATGACCAACCTTTCAAAACAGATTGTGCAATATTATTTAGAGGATATTGTTTGCTTTTGTGGGAGAGGCTTGTATTTTGGCCGATGACAGCAACAGCCAGTTTGATATGAATGTCCTGGTGTTTTTTACATTTGACAACCAACTGCTAATTTATATTACTGGAGGAACTTCTCCTTTTACCAAACATAAGGGTGGTCAGTGGTCAATATTTTTGTTACAATAGGTTGATGTACATCTGTCGGCATCACTATGTTTGTTTTAGTTTGCTTGGACACTGCACCAGTGGCTTTCATATAAACCCCAATGCTGCTCTCTCTGTCACTGGTCTGACAGCTGCTGGGCGAATTTGAACCTTACAGTAGGGATATGTAAAGATGGATTCTTGAGAATTTGTGCCAAAAATAAAAATAAATAAATAAGTAATAAAAATAATGAATCCAGTTAGTATATTTTTCTCTGCCAGATGCTAAAGCTGTAAGCTGCTTCTGAGAATTTACACTTAATTGTAATTGGTAAAATCTCTCACTTAGAGCATGAGGGTGGCTGATCAATTGAAGGAGAGAGTGGAGACATGTGTCTGTGTCTGAGCTCAGAGCTGCATTAAATAGAGAAGCACTGAATTACGATATCTTGATATTACGATATCAAGATAGCATATAATCACATGATCAAATCACTGTTAGATTTTTCGTAATTGCCCAGCTCCTTTTGAACCATAATAAATCTTTTTCTCGTCTCTTACAGGAGGCCCATTGAGTCGTCTGATTGAGAGTGGCGAACCTTCAGGGTTGGCAGATGAACAAAACAATGGCCTCAGAAGAAAAACAAAGGATCACGGCAAGGAGGAATCTACAAGTTCAACTCAGGGAAAAACCACAAACGAACTGACACATCCACCTGCCGCTGGAGGAGACGTTTCAGAAGCTCAGGGTAAAGAACTAGGGACTGAAGTAAGCAGTTTAACAGAGAACAAGGAGGACGATGAAAGGACACTTGTCTCTAAGAATACCAACGCCAACTCATCAGCACCTGACCACAAAGCAAATAATCTGGATTTTGACCTTTCCAGTGATAGTGACAGTGACTCAATATCAGACAAACCTCTCAAAACAGACAGTGACAGTGAAGGCAATGTGACAAAAGACAGAAATTCTAAACAGGAATTAGAAGAGACTGCAAAGGAAGGTGAGATTAAAGCTGGGAATAGTTCAGAGGGTGTGGCACTTCCAGACACAAACTTGGACAATGGCTGCTCTGATAAACAAGAACCCGAAACGGAATCTCAAAATAGTGAACAGTCAGGCGTCACCACAGGGGAAGAGATTTTAGACCACAACATGGAGGATGAGGAGGAAGAAGACATTGACCAGGACGATCACTTGATATACTTAGAGGAGGTTCTAGAGAGGATCCACGCAGAATACTTCACTCGCTATGACCGCTACCTGAAAAAGGAAGTCCCAGAAACGCCGGACATTCGGAAGATTGTACCGGAGCTGAAAGGCAAAACTCTGGAGGGAACAACACTGGTGTTCAGTGGGCTGTACCCAACCAACTATCCGATGGAGAGGACTAGGGAGTATTACCACGCCAAAGCACTGGGGGCGAACATCGGCAAGAGCCTCATCTTCAAAGCTCAGGATCCAAACCGAACAACGCACCTCATCGCAGCACGGGCAGGTATGTATTGCAAGAGCCAACAATGTATGACTTCTGGTTTTAAAATGGATAACACCACTAGAGTTCTGATTAGCCATAACATGAGTTTGTACCCTTATGTTTCTTAAATTATCACATTTAAATAGTAACATTTGCATAACTCTTTTCTACCTTTAAGGCACTAAAAGCATTTTACATCAAGGAACCCCTACTCACCCATTCACACACATTCATACACCAGTATAAGCAGACACTGGGGGAGAGTCACTTTACCGGTGTCTTGCCCAGGAACACACAACAATAGTAACTGATGGATCAATTCCTCAATCTGTGGGTCAGTGAATCTGACTTCTCAGCTAGCTATGCACAATAGTAAAAAGGGTGGTAATATTATTAAATTAAAAAAAGTTTACATTCTCAGCAGGATGCGCTGGGTACAACATCTGGCATGGGTTTTCTCAAATAGTGTTTAAAATATTCTAGGTTTGCCCAATCATAATGTTATAAAAATCAACCTCCCTTCAAAAACAAGCTTGTGCTGTGAGGCTCTGCCCCACTGTGAGGAAGATGTGGCAATCACTCAATCCTTAATATTCAGCTTCACAGAAAATCCACCAGAATCACCAGCATCTCACAGTGTCCGTAAAAAACTGCAAAGACAGCTGGATATATTTTTAAACAGGGCCTAGATGGCAACAAAAATATACAATGTAGAAGTCAAGAAGTATTTCAGATTCTCCTTTCCATTCACCATCCATAATATACTGTACTATACTTCACTTTAGAGTAGGTGTATGTTCTGCAGAAGTAAAAATAACCATCTCAAAAGTACAAACAATATAGAGGCATGAGTCAACTTTTTCCCAACAGCCCCCCGAGCCATTGCACAGCTCACATACCCTAGGCTAATGAGCACAGGCATTCAGATTGGTGTCATTGAGTTGGACATCAATAAGCTTTGTATGAGCAGAAAGCCCACTCTCAGTGGACTGGCCCAAACAACGCAAGACTGTGTGGGCTTTGAGAACTATCGAGCTAGCACAAAAGTAAGGACAGTTCCATAGACATTTCTCCACTCGTGTAGTAAAATTGACCAAGCAATTATTTTCCAGAATAAGGAGCATTGATTCAGCAAACACAGCTTGTTTGTTTTTCTTATAACCTTTGATCCTATGTGGAAAATCAAGTTTTATATTTGGAATCAACAAAACTAAGCTTAGTGGAAATCATTCAGGTGTTATTATAGATTCTGTTGATCCTAACAGTCACTAATGGTCAATGCTTTCCTATCATATATTTCCATGAACAAATGGCAGGTGATTTGGCTTGCACATTTAAAGCACTTTTGAACAGTAAATTCACAATAGGCAGCTGGCTACACCGGTGAGAGGGACATTCGGCAAAACCATTTCCGCTTCTACTCAACTACTCAAGACTATTCATTTATTTTGTAGGTGGACATTACATCAGTCTGTGGCATTAAATAAGTATTAATTAGTCTCCAAAATTAGCATTAACATTATCCCCAAAACACAAAGAGGTACCTTTGTAAACACAGTGTTCTCTGGTGAAGATTTCCCCACATTTGTAAAGTGCTTTAATGTGTTTTCAGTGACATCCACCTGCAGCTAACTGTCCACTTATTAGGTCATTAATTTGCCTTGCCATAAGATTTTGACTGACTAGTAAATTTAGGCATGCACATTGTAGTTTTAATAATAATATCAAAAAGAAATGTCACATTAATATTGATGTTGCTTTACTGCCATATAAGATTTCAAGTGATTTAAAATATCCAACATAATAATGATAAGAGAAATAATTCATATGTTTTGCTTTTTGGTGTCTATTTCTATTACCACTGTATTTTGTGGCTCAATGGGTACAGCTGGAGCATTTCTCTCTGAACTAAAAGATCTAAGAGTCAAGGTGGCAAAGGTGGGTAATCTGTACTGTGACTTTAGCCTGGTCATGTGCTGGCTATGGCTATTCCACACAGAAAAAAGTCAAGAAAACCATAACTGGTCAAATCTATTTTTGCTTGAACTTGTTGCTTCTCTCCCAGGCACAGAGAAGGTCCGGCAGGCACAGGCTTGTAAGCACCTCCATGTTGTGAACCCCGACTGGCTCTGGAGCTGCCTGGAGCGCTGGGAGAGAGTAGATGAGCGACTGTACCCTCTGAAGGAAGACTACTCCAAGATGCCAAGGTAATAAGGGCTCAGATGGAGAAAATATGTGTTAAAAATACATCTTATAATGAAAAGAAAAAAATAGTCTGAAATTGTGTGGTCTATAATAGCATTGATTCATGTGTATTATATCGAGAGAACCAATTTTCCTAAGGGGACAGTAAAGTGTACTTTAATCTTAATGTAGATGCATTTTGTGTAACTTTGGTGTAGGTTCCATTACCTGCATGTCTCAATGGGAATGATTTCTTTGCATGAAATGTTTCACAGTATCACATTAATAATGTATCTTAAATTTAATTTGTTACAGGTGTTCAAAAACACCTTGAAAAACAAACATTCTTATTTGTATGCAGGGTTGCATCACCTCCTTGCGTTGCTTCTCTCATTGCAAATATATACATTTAATGCCATACTGTAAAACATTTCAAAGTCTTCACCAGAAAAGTTTCACAGTATATCTTTAAAGAAAACCAGTCATCTATCAGTTACATTACCTACATTATTACATTACTACTACATTACCCTTTTCTCATAACAGGAGTAATAGTCCAGCAGCGTTCATAGATGCACAGGGCTCCGTCAAGCAGCCAGTCTTTCAGCCAATCCCTGTCCAGGCCAGAGCTCCACCCCCGCCCCCTGAGATCCGCACCTATGACTCGGTCACAGGGAAACTCATCCGCAGGGGTCCTCCAGCTGCACGGCCCTCACCCTACCTCCAAGCCTCACCGTCCGACCCTTCTACTCTCAGGTACAATTATAATTTATAGCTACTACTGGCTAAATCAGGATACCAACTCTTTTTATACATGTATCATGTCATATCAAGCGTATGATAAACAATACTTATGTTAAAGTAACAAATTTCTACAGGCTGTGTAACTCATTTGAAAACTTTGTCTTCACATTATGCAGGGTAATTGGGCACTGCAATCTTCTTAATGTATTTCTGAGCCTACCAAAACACCAATTTTATACAATTATAATTGTAAGTTAGAAACGTAACAATATACTTAATATTCTGGTATTGTATCGTCAGAAGTCTCACAATAATATCGTGGACCATCACAATACTGTATATCTAAGTTTCTTTGCTTCTATTCATTCTTTTCTTCCCAATTTCAGTGCAGACTACATGAAGAAATAACTGTTATTAAGCACTTTTAAAATTGAATTATTTAGATTATGACAGAATGAAAGGCTTGTTAAGGCATTTTAAAAGGAAAAAGTGTCATTCACAATTTTGTTAGCCTCCACAAAATATAAAGCATTATTTATGACTTAATGGAAGCATGCAAGTTTCATGGAATAAATTGCCATCCAGTGACAAGCACTTCCCTGGGAAGTCCAAAACACATTTTTGTTGTAGCAAAGATTCTGAACTGTTTATTTGCCTGATATTTACCTGTACCTGATTTTCAATAAATTTTTTTTCAAAGCTGCTAAATAATCAAAAAAAGAAAAAAAGAATTGTTTTATGCATTTTACGTAGCATTTTCTCAGGTAAAAAATAACACGGGCGTTTCTGAGAGGGACACCATTTTCCAACAAATCAAGCAGATTGGCCAACAATAGCCTGACACTATCTTTCTTGATTTTCTGTCATAGTGCATTTTCAAAATTGGAGAGCTATAAGGAAACAACTATCCCAGACATAGTTGTTTCTATGTTAAGTGGACAGTGCTAAAAAAGTTCATACTAAAAAAAAAGGTAAAAGGTTCCTCCTGACTGATGGTTTGAAATGGGCTACAGGATGTATTAATTCTGATGAATAAAACCATGTGAATGTGCTTCACAGGGGAAGCTCAGAAGACGAGCAGCCGGGGCCATCTCGTCGCGATCGGCAGCCAAGCATGTCTGAAACCATGCCTCTATACACACTGTGCAAGGAGGACCTGGACAGCATGGACAAAGAGGTGAGCTTCATTCAATATCTCCGTTATACCTGTACAGTTTTTTGTCTGTTTACGTTTTTGTACGTTTAGTTCTTCTGTCACACTGTAGAAATTGATTCAGACTAGTTTTTATTGTGCTAATCTTACAGGTGGTTGCTTCAGTATTGACTAACCATTTCCATATTGTTTATGGTCCGGTGCCCTCAAGCATGCATACAGTTGATTCAAGTGAGAGCTGAACTGTCGGACTATGCAGAATGGTTAATTTTTATCTATCAATAAAAATGTAGTTTGCTGCAGAATTCAGACTTTGAAAGAAGAAATTTGAATTATTATTTGTAGTTAATAATAGTCTTTATGGTTTATAGTTGGAAAATTAATATTGAAAGACAAATATTGAGTAATACGAAGGAAAACCTTTTTTCCTCATATCATCCTACCCTAATTAGAAATAAGTTGGAAACTTGGTGAACTGTTTGAACTCCTCAGTTGCAATTTTAAAACTGAAATTGTAGAATGCAGCTTTTCTAAGTTAAACAAGACTCACACATCACTTTTAAATAAGTCTATGGATTCTTATCTACACCTGGTACCTTGGTTGCTGTGAGGTGATTATTGCGTCTGAGATCTCTGTGCCTACTGCTCAGACAATTGCTCTTAATGGAGCCAACACAAGGGAAGTGTGTGGAGTGTATCCATGAGACGTGTCAAGTGCTTTCAGCAGGTGTTTTTCACAAGAAAAGACTTTGTAGGAGGTTCACTCAAGCTCCCACGTACAACAATGTACATGCTCATGCTGCTGACTAACGGGCTTCTCTCAAACTCTTTGCTTTAACCAGTCATACCAACACAACTGTTGCATTCTTTTGTTTAGTTTATTGTGATTAATGTTGTCATGTCAAATGTATTGATGCCCCTATACCAATCAATACTAATACTAGGACTGAAACTAGACACTAATTTGAACAACATCGATTCTGAAAAAACAGGACAAAATGTAACTTTTCTGAATAGGAATAGCTTTAGAAAAGTCTTGAGCTTTATCAGAACCTAGTATAATATAAGATATATTGAAGAAAGTTCTGTTAAAAGTTTTGTTATTTATTTATGCTGAAATGTTGTCTGTTGTAAAAAAAAACAAAAAACCAAAACAGCTCAACTCAACTTTATATCTAGAGCACTTTAAAAACAACAGAGTCAACCGAAATGCTGTACACAAACAGATAACAAACAGTGACAAATACAGTGACCGGTACAAGTAAAATACAATACAATACAATACAAGTAAAAAGTCAACACTCAAACTGTGTTAAAAGCCAAGGGGAAAAAAGTGAGTTTTTAGTAGGGACTTAAAAGTGAGTCGGTCAACCTCATGTGCAAAGAGAGCTGATTCCACAGTCTTGGAGTAGCCACTGTAAATACCTGATCTCCTCTCTGTTTTCTCCTGGTCTTTGGGACACAGAGGAGAGCCTGATCTGCTGACCTGAGTGCACGAGAGGGGGTATGAGGTACGAGCAGGTCAGACAGATTCTGAGGGGCCGTACCATGGAGACATTTAAAAGCAAATAAAAGAGAAAAAAAAACAAAGGAAAGGGTTTGCATGATCATATAATTTTACTTGTTTGATCATCCCAAGACCTTCAGAAAAATCGTGGCAGGTAAAAATCAGCATTCGAAAAATATGAACAAAATAGTTTGCCTCAAAATCAACGTTGTAATCTACTAAACTCTCTCACTGAGTTCTGTGTTAAAATGTGTATCATACAGTTAAGTGTAATTGCACAGGGTCACCATGTGTGTCATTGACCATGCTTGAAATGACACGCTGACTCTTTTGACCAAGGGAAAGCATTTTGGCTGCTGTACGAAGTCTGCTGAATGTAAGTAACTGTAGCTTCAGGCGCTGGGCTCTTCTCCGCTCAAATCTGTGAAGGAGTTGTGCAAATTATATCCCACTAAAATGACTGACCTAGAAATACTGCCAAAGCCAAAAGCAGTTTAGCACTTCACTCTTATTCATATTGGAGCTTCAAGGTGGAGGAAATTTACTTAGGAGAATCTTTTGAGAGGCTTATGCTAATGTCACTCTACCTGCATACTGTCGTTTGTGCCAAAGATAACAAGGATTCGGGTTAGGGTTGGGAGATATGGGAAAAAATAAAATAAAATCAATCATCTCGATTTTTGCTTTAATTTAATTTAGTCTTTTCAAAAACAGCTTTTAGTTTTGCTGTTTTGGCTGTGGACCTCTAAATTCAAATACCCCAGCCATATCATCGACGATTAGCCATGATTCATGATCTCTCCATCTTTTTATTTAATTGTTCATTGTTAATTGGTTATTATTATATGCATTATTGGATGTCTCAGCAGTATTGTTCAGTCAGTCAGCTTTATGTTGTCAATAGAACAACTGATGTTTGGCAAAATGGTGGAGTTGCCCAATCATGTCTGTTTCAGGCCTGTTTAGATTTCGCTGTTTCTAACTTTGTGATTGGGTAAATTTGATAAGTATCAGACGTTGGCAGTATCTTTTTTTTTTTTTTTAATGTTTTTATTAAGGTTTAGTTTGTGTTGTCTTGCCATCTACCATCTTGCCACTGAAAAATGTACTTACTTTTTGGTCCAAGCCAGTAACAAAGTGACTGGCATTGTTTTTTGCTAGTTTCTTCTTCTTCTTTTCTTCTTAAAGCGAAAAATACCTCTATTTCCTGTTTCTCTGATGACTTCTTATCGCCACAGGCATTGGCCTAGAGAGCTCAAATTTAAATCACAATTGTGTAATCCCGGCCTAAATCTAATGTATTATGAAATCTAATACAACTGAACACTATAGCACCCCCTACCATAGACATGTGATGTCAACCTTATCGGGTTTGAATGAAATTCACAAAGACTTCTCCAAAAAATAAGAACACTTTCACACACATACTTAGTCCGATCATGCTGAAATTTTAATCACTAATACATGATCTCACCCTGAATATAATATACTATAAAACATATGTCAAGTGTACACTATAGCACCTCCTACTATAGTTATTGAAATGGGACATAGAATGGATTTTTATCAAATTTGGTGATTAAATTCTCGACTGACTAGAAGCAAAAAAATATATTATAGACATGGGGGATTTTTCACATTGGCCAGCAGAGGCGCAAAAAACATTTAACAGTGTACTATGTATTTTCTGATGGATGATCTGTGGGCCTAGACAACTGTCGGGAAAGGACAGTAGCATGCCGGGGAAGTCATATGGGAGGAATGTTCATGCAGAGGTGAGAGCCATTATCGATGTGAACAGCTTTAAGTACTGTTATTTAATTATGAATTAGCAGTGCTGGCAAATTGTCTTGGCATATGATACATGACTTTTTCTAAATTGTAGTTTTCTAAGTGAGTAGTAAGTAACTTCTCTGAAGTAGCTGTCTGGTATGGAGTTATTTGTTTTTAGAAAGTCTCTTCCTCCAGATAAGATTTTGTTTATGTGACTGGGTTGGCACTAACAGCACTGAAGCTTCCTGCAACTTCTGTAGTAACTATTAATCTGCTGTTTTCTTTCTTTTTCTTTACATTGTATTAACAGGAAGAAACCTTAATCAAAATCTGTCTTTTGTTTGTTATTCCAGTGTCTTGTTAGCTCATATAAACAATGAAAAGAGAGCTGCTTGTTTGAGACACAACCCTTAGAAAATGTGTGGAAAATGCCATAATACACAGTTTTATGTAATATGTATAGAGTGTAAGTTATTAAGTGCCAAGTGCGTAACAAGAAAGATGGTGCCGGTAATGTGCGTATTACTCATCCCCATACAGAGAATAGAATGATTTATCAGTTTAGTTTTATCACTCTGCACATGAGGAAACTCTAGCCCTAAAAGCCCCATTATAGAATACCAAGTAACCACACAAAAAATGTAAGGACAATGTCTTCTTTATAACTCCATTGTTTTTTAGAAGTTGTTATGGCAAACTGGGCTGAGCATTAATTATGCACTCTAATTAAAACTATCCTCGTGCTCATTTACTGTCGTCTTGGTTGGTGAAAGGTCTTTGTAATGAGCACTGACAACACTTTTATAGTTTATAATTAAAAAGGGACATTTGGCATGTCGGAGATAGAAGAAAAGGGAAAGTACGCCTGATTGATTGGCATTGACATTTTAAGGAAACAGCTGTGATATAAAAAGGTAGAAGATTGAATTAGGGGTGGGTGAAGGAAATTCTAGGCATTTCTTTGCATTATATTGATAACAATATTCAGACAGTATTTTACCAGAGCACCTGGAATGTGCTAAAATGTGTCTTTAAATGTCTGATGTCTTAGAATTTCAAGTCACATTAGCAGAAAGCATAAATGGACCATAAAATGTACCACAAAAGTGCAGTAATGTCACTTTATTGCCATGTTTGGAAGATAAAACTAGGCATTTCTGTTCATTTTATTTCAACAAGTTTGCATTCTCAACAACATCACATTACAACAACATTAGGCATATTAAGTGTAAAAGCATGTTTTACATATTCACAATGCAATTGTGATTGTCATGCTTATATTCAATTGCTTTTCTATGTGGATATGGTCTGATTCACTATTATTCTGTCTTCATAATAATGTATGCTTAGGTTTAGAAACAAAAGTCTCTTATGACCTACCTGAAAAAGTTACCTTCATCATTTGGGGCTTTCAGCATCCCCTGACTTCATAAACATACTTGACTGTAAGTAAATGGATGGACTCCCTTATCCCTTTGTAGATGTAGTGTTTGAAATGCCATCTTTCTTGGACTGGCTTAGCAAAGGGCAGACTGTGGCATTCCTAAACACTGCAGATCTCAAGGCCAAAGGGGAGTGAAACTGCTGTAATTGGCAGAGGTGAGGTACACATCTGAGGCAGGTAAGACAAGCTCACATTTAAATGTCACAGTGGTTACATGGGGCTATGTGTCGTGGCTCTGCACTAAAAACATGTTGCTTAGTGCAAAATAATGGCACTGTACTGGCCGAATGACCTTATATC